TCAGGATTCTTTGATGAATATAAAGTTCAAATGAACAGCATATTTTGTAACATTGTAAATGTCTTTATTGTGACTTTTGTTCAATTTAATGCATTCTTGCTGAATAAAATAATTAATTTCTTTCAAAAAATTCAATTTTACAAATGAACCTACAAACTTTTGAATGGTAGTGAGGAATGAGATTAGAAAGGATGTTATCCTTAAACAAACCTTATCAGAATATTTCTACCTTCATGTAAACATTTAAAGGGATAGTTTACCCAATGAAAACTATAATTATTCACCCTCATGTCGTTCCAAACCCGTAAGACTTTCGTTCATCTTCCGAACACAAATAAAGATCTTTTTGATGAAATCTGAGAGCTTTCTGACCCTCCATTGACATCTACGCAACTACCACTTTGACGCTTCAAAAAGTTCATTGAGATCGTAGAACTAATCCATGTGAATCGAGCGGTTTAGTCCAAATTTTCTGAAGAGACTCGATCGCTTTATATGATGAACAGATTGGATTTAGGCTTTTATTCACATATAAACACTGATCAGCGGACATAAACAAAAGCTCAACCGAACCTGCCTGACATGCGAGAACAAACCTCTAGCGGAAGCTCAAACTCCTGCTTAACACACGAGAATGAACCTCATTGGTTCTCACACATCAAGCGAACATGCTTCCACTTATCACCACTGATGTGTAAGTTAATGAATGCTTATGTGAATAAAAGCTTGATGCCATTGATATTTGTGTCCAGATCCACGTGAGCGAGAGGAGGTGGAGCTTGAGCTGCAGGTGTGTGTGGCTCAGGTCAGCCAGCTGCAGAAGGACACTGTAGTGAGACAGCTGGCCGCCCTACTCCACGTTCTGGACTCAGACATTGCACTGAAGGGCCTGCACGGCCAGTCAGACATCAGGTACTACACACACATTAACCAAACTAATCTAAAGGACAACTCCATTTTGACTTGTGTTGTTCTTAAATTAAGCATAATTATATAATTGCTAGAAACTAACCCTAGTTTAGTTAAAGCCTAAACGGGTTTTTTATGTCTAGCACAGTATTTAGGTTCTCAGTGCAGGGTCCTGATGGTACGATCCCAGGCCCAAAGCTCACTCGTCTGCTGAGAAACCAGCTGTTGCGAGAGAAAACCGACTTCCTGCTCTTTAAGGTCTTAAGAGTGGACACAGTCAGTGAGTGACCTGATTTGTTTTCTTTAAAGACATTTTTCAACTTAATTTCCCTAATAATTTATATAGTAAATTAAAACGTTTAATGCAGACTTTCTTGTTTTGAATATTTCAGTGTGTTTGCTGCCATGTTCTGGACGTGGTCAGTGTGACCCTGTTACAAAGAGCTGTTCCTGTGACCCTCTTTGGATGGAAAACCCCATTCGCCGTTTCCTTGAAGATGGCGAGAGCAATTGCGGTTAGTGTGACCTCTCTATTCTATCTCCAAAATAAGGCAAATATGTAAATGAGACATTTTAAATAAGATATAAGCAAATTCAGACTTTAGGTGTGGTCATCTACTGTGTCTGTGTGACATTTTGTATCCAAAATTAATTTATTTAAATAGGAATCTGCACAAGTGGGTGTTTCCTGATGTAGATTTTGCATTGGGTTCAAGTTGGGACCGCAAATTGACAACAGAAAGCTGTTTGGTTGGAAAGTGATTTCTGTGTGAGCTGTGCTTCATGCAGTGCTATACTATTGACAATGGACGTTTTATTCCTACAAAATGTCGCTAACGTGACCACACCTTGATTGATGCTTTTTGCTGTGGTAAATGATATAGTGATATTTCTGATGGGCTGTCATGAAAAATCTAGAATGATTGACAGCAGTGGAAAGGCTGAGGGCTGATCTTCTGTCTCCTCCCTGCAGACTGGAGCGTGTTGTATGTCACAATCTCTTGTTTGGTGACAATCATTTTCCTCTTGTCAATCAGCTGGATTTGCGTCTGCTGCTGTAAAAGGTGATATTTACTAAAGATTAAGATTCTATTACTACATGTAAACAAACGGCCTATTGAAATGTCTGGTCATACATGTGTTGTCATTAGGGGTGGAACGGATGTATTCGTATCGAACCGAAACGGTACGGGCGTCACGGTTCAGTGCACGAATTTACACGGAGAATACACGGTATAAAAATAAATAAAACTCGCGTGCAAATTAATTAATGTAATGCGGAACTACTGTTAGATACGCGGGTTCTTTAGGGACACATAATCTGCACCATCGACTTAGCTCTGAACGCGCGTTCACTTCAAACGTTGGCTTTATACGCGCGTCCTATTCGCTTTGGACTAGCGTCGAACTAGACGCGAATTTGACGCTCTATTCGCGTTTGGTGTGACCGACCGTGACCGCATAATGAACAGGCAGCGATGTCAAGATTGCAATGCTGGAGTGTGTGTGTGTGTGCGAGAGAGAGAGGCGGGCGCGATCGAACTGTGTGTGTGTGAGAGAGAGAGAGAGAGAGAGAGAGAGAGAGAGAGAGAGAGAGAGGCGCGCGATCAAACAGTGGAAACAAAAAACATACTCCGTCATTTTGTTCAGATCATTAAACCTGCAAAGTGTTTACTTATATTTGTGTACACTCGCAATAAAACACAACATTGTGCTTTTGTCACACTGTAAACTCTTGTCAAACTGTAACCTACAACTGTCACCCAACCAAAATCACACACACACACACACACACACTGTTTTAAAAGCAAAGCACATTTATCCAACTCCATTTCAAAACAGTCTTGTGTGTTCCATCTTTTGGACATTCGTCATATTGCATTGGTTTCCATTTCTTGTCCTCGGAGCGCTAATCTTACACATTCTACATTGATTAAAAAAAGAAAATCGAATGTGTTTTTAATGGTAGTATTATTTTATACAGAAATCAATTATTTATAATTCAGAAGAGAATAATGTTACATTGTCAATTAATAATGTTAATTAAAATTAAGGAAAAACAAATATTTTGATCTGAGATATAGCAAAATAATTTTAAATTAATTCAGGTACAATTACCAAACATATCGCAAGGTCTTTTTATTAATTTAATTAATAAACTAATTATATAAAACTATTGTCAGTGCACTACAAATAAACTGGTTCTATGCCTTTATTAAAAAAACTTATTTAAAAAATACAATGCCTTCTGCATTTATGTTTTGCTTTTCCCTCCATTGTACCGAAATCGTACCGAACCGTGATGTTTGAACCGAGGTATGAACCGAACCGTGACTTCTGTGTACCGTTCCACCCCTAGTTGTCATATATTTTCCTGTCCAGTAACAAGGGATAGTTCAGCTAGTTTGTTATTTACTTACCCTCATGTCGTTTCAAACCCATATAACTTTTGAGATCTTTTGAATTATGTATTAACTGCTCTTTTCCATGCAAGAACAGTGAATATCAAATTTTTAAACTTCAGGAACAATACAAAAGCATCATAAAAATAGTCCATTTTGCCACTTTTAAACTGAAATTTTGTCAAAGCTATTGTCTTCAGTCGACTTTGAATGTAGTGCACAGGTTGCTCTGTATGGACTGCTTTTATATTTTTGGTGCATTTTTACTCATTCACTTTCATTATATTTAGTGGGCATTTTTTGTTCCATGAGAAACAATGACAATGGTGAGTTTGTGTACTTGTGGTATGAGTATCTATAATCTATACTCTACCCTTTGTTTTGCGCTTTAGTTTTAGAGGAAGACGCACTAAAGTGAGGAAGAAAACCAAGTACACAATACTGGACAACATGGATGAACAGGAGAGGATGGAACTTCAGCCAAAGTATAGTAAGTTTGAGCAATATTTTCTGCAGGGAGGAATGAAGACACTCTTGCACTCATTGGAGGCTTGTATTCTTAAGTGGTTCACACCATTGTTTTTTTTAGAGGCCGACCAATAGGTTTGTAATTGTAGTTCATTCTGCATTCTCTTTTCTTTGTTTGTCATTTTAGATATTAAACACAGGAGCACAGAGCACAACTCGAGTCTGATGATGTCAGAATCAGAGCTGGACAGTGAGCAGGACAACATTTTCAACTATGGGAGAGCCGATAAAGCTCGGAACAGAGCCAATGGAGTGGTCAGAAATGGAGACACTCTCAGCCTTTGTCCTGTGGAGGGTTGAATCTCACATGGACAAATAGACATTTCTTCATGGTGGATATTTAAAACGCAAGGGTATTGTTGAATATTCCACAAATATAGATAAAGACTGGCTGAATGAATTAGCTACTAAACTTAATGACTACTGAATGCAGTTGGTCTTGCAATGAATAATCATGGTTTGCTAAATGATTCAGTACATTTAGATTTTCAGTTGCCAATAGCATATCCAATCTGAATATAAAAAGACATGTGCATTCAACTCACACAATCGCAGTTTTCCTCAGTACTGTATGTGCTTAATAATGCTTGTATGTTCAGTGACACAGTGCAAGCAATTGACTGGTTATTTTGCTATTTATATGATGCTTCAATGATCAATTTTAGGGAGAAGCTGCAAACAACTGATCTATTAGAAAATCAAAATTAAAAAAGAAAGCAAATATCAATCTTCTTTATGCAAGAACATTTTAACTGTACTGAACTTTTTGAATGTTAATGTGCCTGACTAAAATGCACTCTTTTTGTTTTGATTTTTTTGGTATTTCAGTCTTGTCTCTGATACTGTACTGTATCTTTTTAACGTTCTGGTTTTACAAGCTATTAAAATGTCTGCTTCAGCTGGAATTGCAATAGAAGCCATTTGGACCAGGCATATTGTGAAGAGGAGATGCATTTCTTAATTTTTCTTTTTTGTTTTAATGCAGCTGGAGATGAAAATAAATAAAGACGTGTCCCTTTACAGAGGTTAAGACTGTTTTATAACGAAAATAGGAGTTCAATATTTATAGTAGCAGTCTCAGAAATGTCATGAAACAGTGTGCATTTACTTAGTTTAGTTGAGCCATTTCATCACTAATAGTAGAAGTTGAAATGTCCAGAGTTAAAGTTTCAGCTGTATTTATTAGTCTTTACATCTTCATGCACTTATCTGCAAACATTTCAATCCTAAGTACGAAAATTAATATACTTCTAAACATACACAGTTTACAATATAATTAGGTATATCAATTGAGAATTATTATTTACAACAATTAAAAAAAACCCACTAAAAGTGAAGACAGTTTCATTAAAAAAACAAATACATTGGCACAACATTTGGCCACAATGACAACTTTGTTAACTTACTAGACAAATCTCTATACTTCAATATCTCAAATCAGAAGAGTTTAAACACCCAAATATATCCCATCATTTAGATTTCTACATTTTGCAGAAGCTTTTATCCAAAGCGACTTACAAAAGAGAAAAAAACAACCTTCACAGTCAATGTTTCATGTTTAGCATTCTTACTCTTTTTCTAGATTTACAAAAATAGATCACTAAGTAAGTTTAACATTTACACTCTGGAATAGCATTTTTGTGAACTTTTGTGCTTTTATTTCGAACTGGATCAACCCCCAATCCCTATATTTGTACATCTTTAATCATAAATTGGGTTTGCTTATTTTTTTGTGCATAAATGAATCAGCTACACTGCGAAAAAAAGAAACTGGGTAAAAAATAATTCACAAAAACTTTAGATATTAAAGAAATCTCATCTTTCACAATTACACAAAAATAGGTTTGTCTTGTTTTAAAGATGTTTAGCTATTTTAACATAAAAATAAAGATTTTATTTTTTGCAGTGTATGTTAAGTCTTATTTCAGAGCAACTAGGTTACTTCAATCAGTTATGATGGACAGAATATGAAAAGAGGGCAATTTGTACCAGCCCTTTTTACAGCAAATATCGAAAATACCAGTCATCAAAATGTCTCTGCTCTTTCAGAACATCAATTCTTATAGTCAATATTCAGTTACATCTGACTAAAAGAGAGAATGGTTCAGTGTTTTGTAGATTATGTTTTTATGATGGTCTTGCTTAAATAATGGCACACTACAGTTGTATTTTTTGCTCTAACCGCTATTAACCATTGTCTTCAAAGAGAGAGTCCCCCCAAACACATGTACTTTACTTCCAGATACTCATCAATGCCATATTTGGATCCTTCTCTACCCAGTCCAGACTGTTTGATTCCACCAAAAGAGGCTTCTGTGGCGGAGATCAGACCTTCGTTGACCCCGACCATGCCCACCTCCATCTGCTCGGCCACTCGCCAGATCTGACTGATGTCTCTGGAGTAAAAGTAACCTGTTGAAAGAAAACAGTTTTGAATCCTATGCCACTGAAAAAGACAAGAGCTAGCTGTTCTTGTTTGCTTTATTTACAGCCCTCTAATGGGGTGCACTCACTTGACCATCCAGATATTTTAGGGTACAATAGAGCTAAAGGAAAGTGTGATTTTTGTGGTTCCATAATATATGATAAAAAATATATGATATATATATTCAAAGTTCTAATGTAGTCTATTGTACATGCCTTTCAACCAATAAGAAACACTCATCTTTTCAGTCTGATAATAAATAAACGGGTATGTGAGTAAAAGTGGCCAAACTCAAAACTGTCCAAAAAAAAAAAAAAAAAAACACTTTGTAAACTCTGAAATGTAGAGACTACATTAGAAAAAAAAAAAACATGATTAATTTGTACAGATGGACAAACCTGCTAAACCAACAGGAGAAGCATTGGCAATAGCAAGTGCCTCCTGTTCTGTGTTGAACCTGGAGAAGAAGAAAAAAAACAGTCAGCAGCTGGTGGAAGACTCAACCAGACATGTCAAATCATTCACACTGAAACATGTCGCTCATTAAAACCCATTCACAAAACATGTTATGATTTAAATTTTATAAAATCTAAATATTTTCATAAAAATAAATGAAACTTTTCACTCAAATTATGTTGATAATATAATGAAATCTGTAGATAGATAAATCTGTAATGAAAAAGAAAATGTTTTAAATGACATTACAACAAGTTACATAATACAACAACCTGTAAATACTCACTTAACAACAGGAATAAGGGGTCCAAAGGTCTCCTCCCGCATACAGAGCATGTCAGTGGTGACATTGGACAGCAGGGTGGGCTGCATGAAGGAGCCCTCCAGCCTCTTCCCACCTCGAACTATGACTGCTCCCTGTGCCACAGCATCTGCAACCTGACCCTCCACCTGAGAGAAACAACAGCATTAAATCCTTTCATCTCAACCAAATTTCCTTCACATGATCTATCTGTGTGTGTCAGTGTTGACAAGTCAGGCTACTTTTACACTGTTGCCACGGGTTGTTGTTTTAGTCCGCTGGTTGAAGTGACAACCTCGCTTTTTACCCCCTGGAACGCCAATTAGGCCGTTATTGGGCTAGTTTTGATTATCAATTGGACTGGTTTTGTTATGCAGACCTGGCAACCCTGGTGTGTGTGCTGATTGACAGTGACATGAGGCACCTTCTCTGCGGCGCGGGTGTTGATGAGTGGCCCCTGTGTGGTGGTGGGCTCTGAGCCGTGGCCAATCTTCAGCTCGCCATCCATAGCCTTCGCCAGCTTTTCCATGAAAGCATCGTGAATCCCACTCTGCACCAAAAAGCGGTTGGAGCACACACAGGTCTACAGCAGAGATGAGTACAAGATGCGTTACGAGTGAGGAGAACAGCTGGTTACAAAAATGTCATATACACCATGATATTTACATGCTACTCAAAGGCACTTCAAAGAATATCATTGTACTGAATCCTGATGAGTACCTACCTATATTTCCACTATTTTACTCATTGTTTATGAAAAATATTCACTAAACTGTTTAGGTTAGGGATACACGATATATTGGCCACCATATCGGTATCGGCAGATATATGTTCATTTTAATGGTATTGTTATCGGCCCGATAAGAAATTTTGGCTGATATATTAAAGCCGATAAATTATGGATTATTTCCTTCAGCTGAGACACTTCAGATGCGCACTGTTCGACATGATGGTTTTGAATTGCTTGAAATATGATTGAAATTACTTCAAAAAGAAAAATACAGTTAAGTGCAAAAAGTGCAGCACAAGTCTGTCATAGAGGCTACATAAAGGTATAATGAGAACATTATAATTGTGTGCTTGGGACACGGTTTTTAATGGTGAGGCTTTTGTTTTTGTAATCAGGCTCTCAAAAATTATGTAAAAATTTGGATTTAGATTTATCGGCCAATATATTCGTTAAAGGCTTTCAGATATAAAGAATTATCGGTTATCGGTATAAGTCCAAAATGTTCATATCGGTCTATCCCTAGTTTAAGTGAATCTCAAAAAGAAATGTATGGGTCATATTTCTCCCCAAAATAAACAGGAAAAAATAAGAAACAATATTTTGCATAAATTAATTAATACTATTAAGATTTTTTCATGAAAATTAAGCACATTTTCCTCACAATTCCCATTACTGTAATGCTTCATATAATTTAATATAAAATTCATGAATGTAATTATAATTTAAATAAATAAAGTTATTATTAAAATACTATACAAATATATTTATTTAAATTAAAAATAATTCATTCATCATGCTAGCAGATTATTTCTGAATTTACAACGAAAATAACTAAGCAATAACTTTATTGTGTACATTATTGCGATTTAAAATGACTCATACCATTATATAAGATTGAAATAACATTCACCTGGCCTGAGTTCCTGAATTTGGAGCCCATCGCTCCAGCAACGGCTTTATCAACATCTGCGCTGTCAAATACAATAAAGGGGGCGTGTCCTCCTAACTCCATGGAGACCTTTTTGACCGTTCCTGCAGCATGTCTTAGTAGTATCTGCAAAAGCATTTACTTAGGCAATTACTAAATTATGGCAAACATTAAATGTTGACTGCACACATACATGAGATGTTGGGTGGATGCTAACCTTGCCAGTGGCCGTGGAGCCGGTAAATGAGATTTTGGCCACTAGAGGGTCCGTGCAGAGCAGTTCTCCCACAGCAGGGGTCTTTTCTCTTGAGCAGGGCACCACATTAAACACCCCTGGAGGAATGCCAGCCTGAACCGACAACTAGATAGGAATACAATAGATTATAAATTCTTTCATATAAATTACCTTTCAAAAGTTTGGGGTCGATAAGATTTGCACCAGCTCTGCAATTCGGCCCTATTCAGTCGTCACATCACGTTCATTTATATCACTTTATACAATAGTGTTTTAAAGTCCCCCTGTGGTGAAAACCAAGCTTTTAAATGTTTTTTATATGTCTATATTATGTTTTTAATATGTTTTAAGACAAACCATGTGCAAATTCATAAATCAACACCATTGCGGTGTAATTTCTCCTTAAAGGGATACTCCACTTTTTTGGGAAATAGGCTTATTTTACAACTCCCCCGGAGTTAAACTGTTGAGTTTTACCATTTTTGAATCCATTCAGCCGATCTCCGGTTCTGGCGGTACCACTTTTAGCATAGCTTAGCATACATCATTGAAGTGGACAAGACCATTAGCATTTCTAAAAAAAAAAAATTACCAAAGAGTTTCGATATTTTTCCTATTTAAACCTTGACTCTTCTGTAGTTACATCGTGCACTAAGACCGACGGAAAATGTGAAGTTGCGATTTTCTAGGCTGATATGGCTAGGAACTAAACTCTCATTCCTGAGTAATAATCAAGAAACTTTACTGCCGTACCATGAGTGCAGCAGGCGTAATGATATGACGCAGCGCCTGAAAATAGGCTACCTTCCGTCAACACAACGGAACTAACACTTTCTTGATTATTACGCAGGAATGAGAGTATAGTTCCTAGCCATATCAGCCTAGAAAATCGCAACTTTACATTTTCCGTCGGTCTTAGTGCACGATGTAACTACAGAAGAGTCAAGTTTTATATAGGAAAAAATAGCGAAACTCTTTGGTCATTTTTTTTTTTTAGAAATGCTAATGGTCTTGTCCACTTCAATTATGTATGCTAAGCTATGCAAAAAGTGGTACCGCCGCCAGAACCGGAGATCGGCTGAATGGATTCAAAAACGGTAAAACTCAACAGTTTAACTCTGGGGGAGTTGTAAGATGAGCCTATTTCCAAAAAAAGTGGAGTATCCCTTTAAAACTGCAGTGAACCAAAGACAGTATAAAAAACACGGTTTGAAATCGCTGCTGTTTCTGAAGTCACAAACTACCAAACTACCAATCACGTCAACCTGTGATCGTCAACGAGTGGATCTCTGAGCTTGTGTGAGCGAGTGGAGGCAGAGCTAATTTGCATATTCATAGAACCACATATACTAAATGAGGCAAGGGTGTAGAGTTACATTCAAGCTATTTTAAGGCATGAAGATTTTTTTTCAAGGAAAAAACGTTTAAATATGTCATTTCGGTGATCAAAGATGAGTTTTAAGTGATAAAATTATTGACTACAGGGGGACTTTAAAGCCACAAATAGTTGTTTAGTCATGTTATCTACAGGCCTACTGTAACCGAGACATTTATTCAAGAAATTTATTACAAACAGAAAGACGTTTAGTACATAGAAATTTCATTCAGAGCAGGATTTGAGCAAACATCGTTCAACCGGTAAGCGTGAGCAGTACATGAGTGGAGCGTTCGCTTGGGCCGCAAGTGATTGAGCGGAGCGGTTTGGCATAGAGCTGAATATGGCACGCACTGGCATGCTCTGCTGAGAAGTGATAAAAAATTTTAAATCTTACTGACTGCAAACTTTTGAACCGTAGTGTATCTATAATGCAGACTAGTTTAATGTCAAGTTAAGTCGGCTTTAATGGAAACCGACAGACCTCAGCAAGGGCCAGAGCAGAGAGAGGTGTGTCCTCAGCCGGCTTCACCACTACAGTACAGCCCACCGCAAGCGCTGCACCCACCTTCCTGGTTATCATGGCACTGGGGAAATTCCACTGTAGGGAGAGAAAGTTGAAAATCACAACTGGCAGTTTTAGTTCAGCTCATTGATCCTGATGGTGTTATGTTATCAGAACGAAGAAGGAAGTCTCACAGGTGTGATGATGGAAGCCACTCCCACCGGCTGCTTGAGTAACAGGATCTTGCGGTCCTTGGCTGAAGGTGCAACAATATCTCCATATACACGTCTGGCCTCTTCAGAGAACCACTCCAGAAAGGAGGCAGAATATGTAATTTCTCCAAGAGACTCCTTCATGGGCTTCCCCTGTACACACATATGTGTTAACATCTCCTAATATCTGGATCCTTGTAAATGAACACGTTAAGAAGTTGTACACTGTATGTAATAGGTCAGTACACCTACACACTCTGCTGTGATCAGCTTGGCAAGATCATCCCTGTGCTGAATAATGAGATCGAACCATTTACGCAACAAAATGCTTCTTTCCTGTAGAGAGAAATCAATATGAGAACTGATTTTTATATCAAATTAAATTATAACTTTGTTTATAAAAAAAAACTAAAACTAAAACAAGTAATATTGTGAAATAGTATTACAATTTCTAATTCTAATATGCTGAAATGGTGCTCAAGAAACATTTCTTATTATCGATGTTAAAAAAAGTTCCGCTTAATATTTTTGAAGGAACCGGTATTTTTTTTGATGAATAGAAAGTTCAAAAGTGCAGCATTTATTTGAAATAGAACATTTCTGTAACAATGTAAAAGCATTTTGTCACTTTTGTTCAATTTAATGCATCCTTGCTGAATAAATGTATTAATGCAACATGGCACTATGTAAATAGACTTATATTATGCAACATATATAGGTTACATCTTTATTTATTTTCGGGAGAAATATGACCTGCTTTTAAGGGAGGAAAACAATTGTAAAGTGAAAATTTTTCTAAATAATGAGTGGAAAAGTGGATACCTTTTACCTTATAGTACCATAGATAGCTTTGAGTACCATGTAAATACCACGGTGTGTGAAATATCAAAGCGCCATGATCTTACCATTTAACCACCCCAGTACGTTTTTTTTAAATGTAGTAAATAGGGTTAACGTACCGGTTCGTTCTTGAAAAGAATTAAGTCTAATGCAGAAGAGTTATAAATGACATCTGCAAAATAATAACATTTCCCACACATGTTAATTTCACCTTGGCTGTATGACTCTTCCACAGGTGAAACGCTTTGTATGCAGCATTGACAGCGTCTTGAGCTTCCTTAGTACCGCAGTTTGACACCTTCGCGATTTCTTCTCCAGTGGCTGGATCTAACACGGGGAATGTGGATGCAGCGGAGACCCAGCGCCCATCTATGAAGCCTTCAGTCCGCAGTAGCTGCGCTGACACATCGAGGCTGTACGGCCGCTGCAGCATGATGGGTACTGTGGGTAGGCCAGAGAACACCTGCCGAAGAATACACCGACCTCTTGAGAGATATAAACTGCCCATGTTAAAAGCTGACAGGTCTAACGTTAATACCACAACACCTATGTTTGTCTGTCTGCAGGCTGAGGCGTGCAAGAAGTCTTAATATCAAGCTCAATCCAGTCTAAGAGGGCGGTCGCTTTAAACCATAGACCGTAAAAAAAATAACACGTGATTATGCGCTTGTAACAGTATTTCCTTATTTAATTCTGCTATACTCATATAATATGTAAGTTATAACGTTAGCTGAAACAATTAGCTTAGTTAATTTCCGCTCTTACTCTTAAAACGCTAAAGTCGGAGTATTAAAACTGAATTATAAAACAATTTGGATCGTTTGGATTGCATGTTGCATACACTCTGCTTTTCACTCACTACAAAGCAGGAAATTCGATCGGGTTCAAGAGACGGTAGTGATGGAAGGCGACATTAGCGACGTCCGATTCATGAAAGAGTCGGAACTCTTTAACGAATCAGTTGAGCCGGTTAAAAAACGGTCCAAATGATTCGTACACGAATCAGTCCGTTGAGCCCATAGACAGTAAAAGAGGTTGAGCCACACCAAATAACTTGTATTAACCACACAGTAGCCTATAACATGTCAGATTATTAGCCTTGAACCGAACTGTTCAAAGGAATCGATTCGCGGAAATGAATCTGCGTGGCACATAAACAACTCTGGTCTGTTACAAACAACATAAGCTCAACAGCGCCTTCAGTGGCAACTTTATATAAGCAGTTTAAACTACAGAAAATCTCATAACGTAAATTTAAAAAATATATAGCATGTCCTATTCTTGTGAACACCACAAAGGAAGAATAAAAAAAGTCTTCAAACAAGATGAAACTGCATTTGCTTTCTCCTTTAGTGAGAAATCATCCATCCACCACTTTATCCTCTACAGCAGTGTTTCTCAACTCCAGTCCTCAAGACCCACCTCCCTGAATGTTTCAGATGTGTCCCTGTTCAACACACCAAGAAACTGATGAGTTGAATCGGGTGTTTTAAATAGCGAGAGATCTAAAACACTAGGACTAAAGTTGAGAAACACTGCTCTACAGGGCCACAGGGATGCAGGAGCCTTTTCTACTGTCTCAGGCCACAGGCAGGGGACACCCTGGACACATCACAGGACTAGTCAGAAATCAAATATGTTCAAATATCCCCACAGTATTTATGGATTTTCCTTGAGCTTTGTTCTTGTGTCCCTTTAAACAAAAGCATTTACTTGCATCAAGCACTTGATGTATGTTTGTACATTGAATGTCGATGCTTTTGCAAGCACCCATTTTACTGCTACACAAAATTAACTTAGCAAGTAATGCAAACAACAAGAGAACAAAACAACAGCAAATGGTGATGTATTATATATCTATTTATTTACATGAAACAAACTGCATAATGACATTATGTATGACTTTCATTTGAAAACTTAGAGAACAGCACTAGAAGTCCCTCGAGCGAAAAATGACGCTCCTTTATCATGGACTTTAAAATGAAATATTTTTCGTGGGTTGTACATGGTCTCTCCACTCTGTCGCCACCAAACCTGCATCTGGAAAACATAAACAAACATCAAAATATCAGCTCAAATCAGGGCCATTTGTTACAGAGTATTAGTGGAGTTTTAACAATAAACCGCACCTGTCCATGTATGTCCCTGCAGTAACCCGTGGGTAACCCCTCCACATGTAATGCCAAGTTACACTGATGAACTAGTCCCCTCTGGAGCAGGTTTGCTCCCTCTTCATCATCATCTACATCCTCCTCCTCACATCTCACCAGTATTACCATATTACCCTGGATATCAAGGCACAAAAAATAATGTCTTTACACAATGAAGCATTGATACAATAGTTTGACATTATTTCAGGCACTGCCCCAAAAACACTGACTCACCTGTAACTCAGTGCACACAGTGGCTTGGCAGTAGAGGGTAAAGTCTAGTATTGCTCCAACAGTAACACCTAAACTCAGGAGCACACTGAGATCATCTATGAGTAACACTGGAGGACCCCATGATTCACCATCGTCACGATTTCCATTCTGGCCCACAGAACTTTCCACAAATTTGAACAGACCTTTCAATCCAGCACCTGGGGACCTAGAAAAACAAAATGGCAAGACTAGTCTTTTTTTCTTCATATATATATCTGACTTAAACATATAGGAAGAGGGAAACTGAGAGAAATGTATTTAAACTAGATTTTCGGAGCATGCTATACATGCCTGAGATAACTCAAATGTTGTGTCCCCTGACTGCTTTCCTCCTGTAATATAGCTCCGATAGAGTCCTTCAGTCCTTCGAGAAACACTAGCTGGCCCTTCTCTCTTGCCTGGGCCAGACTCACTCCCTGCACAGAAACATTATGAACAAGTCATATCAATGTAATAATTAAAATGTAAAAATAGAGCAAATAGACTTACCAGCCTCTGACCGACAGCACTGTAATGGCTGAAGGACTGAACAAGACCCAGAAAACACACCTTACAGCCAGCTGGAAATATACAAGTTTATGAATAAACTTATATTAACACAAGATTTCCTCACTGTGTACAGTAGGTCACTTACCACGTAAATAAAAAGACAGATAATGATGAATAAGGAATGATGCATCAGCTTGCCTGTCAGACACCAGGATGAAGTCACTCTACAAGTAACGTTACAGAAGACATCGGTTCGAGTCAATTACATTTTGTGAGTTACATTAAGCGTGCAAAGGGATGTAATTACTATAATCAGTTACCGATTTGAAACTGTCTGGAGTGGAATTGAGGATATTGTTCAATTCTGGAAACATGACTGAAAAATTAACTACACAACAGTTGAACAGGATATGCTGCTCTCTTTTCTCTACTTCTAATTTTCTTCAGTATCGTGTCGTAAAGGAGAAGAAAACGTGAAAATAATAATAATGTACTTAAAGTGTCTCCAATTACATCAATTGCTTTTACATTACATATAAATATGAAGAAATATCCTATGGAAATATCTCACGTTTGTCTGCTGTGCTAGTAACGTGGGTACGGAAGACGCATTTGGACAATCTTCATTCTGAAATACGCGTTTCGATTGAGTGGTTTGAAATCAGGACTAGCGAAAGCGAGGAATTTTACTACGAAGGAACATGTGAATAAGTAAGTTTTTTTTAATAAGTGAAAGAATATTTTCTCCAATAAAAAAAAAATAGTAGTAGATATACCAAACCTCAGAAATATTTATTCTGACCAAAGATAATAAAATGCAGCTGCAAATGCACTAAAGACAGCCCCCAATAGTGTTTCATTACAAAAATAATATATATGTAAAAAATATACACACAAGAAATCTTAGGGAAAAACTGTTGATCTATGTTATATATCATGTGCTTGTGCCTGCTTTAGAGTTTTAACTTAAGCATTTGCTTCCATCAAACTGAAATACAATGAGTAATTCTGCCCATGAAACAAATTTTACAATAAAATAAGTGTAAACAAGCCTGAAACTAATTTCAACAGAGATTATCTAATGTCGAAATTCACATAAGATTGTTATTTTTTTACCTATAAAGCACTGCTGAAGAAATCATATACAATTGAAATTCTAAATGCATAAAAAACAAGAAAAATAAAAGGGAAAAACATGGTCTTGTCCAAATGAATCACCCATTCAATAAATAGTATAATGTCCTTCAAAATCTTAATATTCATGGGTTTAGAATAGATGGAAGAAAACAAATATTTTCATATGTACAGAGTACAAATAAGTTGTGCACAATAAAGGTTATGCAAATTCAATTTGTGGAATGTTAATCATCAGCTGTGTACCTAAAACAAAAACAGAAAAGATAATGCAAAACTTTTCTATGAGAAGGAAATCAATAAAGCATTTGAGGTCTAGTTCCATAAAATGTCTTACGGCATTCATTCACATTTTAAAACCTGACATACACAGATTGAACACAACTGATGATATAACTTCACTAAAAGACACAGTAAAAGCTGCTAACTGGGGAATTTTACAGGGAAAGACAAAATAGGCACATGGACCACACCATGGAATGCAAGCACAGACATGTTGCATACTTTTTAGAGCACAAAACTTTGAAATGCACATCGTGATTTAGTGTCTAATAGTACAAAGGAAATTATGGAAGATAAAAAAAAGTTAAACAACCATTGCTTGTACTCTGAATAGAGTACGTTATCTTTATAAACAGCTAAAAGTGTTATAAAACATGAAAGAGTTTGCTCAAGTAAATACATAGCTACGTCACCTAATGCTGACTGCATCAATACAGCATGCTTCACACAGCAGGAGCAGGTCAATGTCACACAAAGCCATAACATAATAGAGGTCTTACCTCTCAATAATGTCTAGTATTGTTTATAATGATATACTGTTAACCTTCACTCTCATGTCACTATTTCAGGAATGTTCCGTGTCCAAGTTAAACTATATCGACAACATTTGCAATGCGACTTGTCCTTCAATTTGTTTTAAAATAAACAAAAATCATGGTTATAACAAGGTACGTCATGAGGCCAGGCAATAAACATTCAGCTTTGATGTCATGACAAAACGACGATGGTAAACCCAGTCATTTCTCCACAATATGCAAGATCACTGACCTAGAAAATCTTCAAAAAGGATGAATTGGACTAAAATAATAGACTTTGCAACTCAGTACATTTTACTGAATGAGTAATGCAAGTGTTTTAACAGTTTTTCTAGTTTATTTTTATTAAAAGCGCATTACTATAACCACGCCTTGCAATCCTAGAAAAGGATTAAATTGAACCCAGAACTACTGTGCGTACTAATAGTATAGTATGCACTTGAGTTGCATAATAGGGCTTGATTGAAAAGCATCTTGCACCGCTGTATGTTAAAAGAACACGATCTTCCTGATCTTCCTATTCTACCAATCTGAGCAGCTCAGCATCATTGTGACCACCTAAATATAATCCACGCTACGTCTTTGTAGAGGTCTGTCTGTACAGAAACTGAATGCTAAGAGTATAAAAAGGAAAAACAAAAGGTTATGATTTACAATAAATAAATACAACATGCCTCTTCAGGTACACAGACTAGAAGAGTGTATGTAATTCCTGAGTGTTTGAGTCTTTGGGTTCACTGCTACGGCGTGCCCTCAGAAGTGGCTGTGATATCTGCCGCCTCTACTAAAGTCACTGTTTCTCCTGCTGTTGAATCAAGGGGTTCCTCCTTAATGATGATGGCCCCTTCTGGCAACATGACAACTTCCTCTTCACCAACCACCTCCTCCTCCTCCTCCTCCTGGAACACCACTTCCTCTTGGGGCTCTGTGCTGGAGCCATTGGTCTGGCCATTGGCAATGGCTTCTAGTTTAAGCCTGTACTGCTCAGCTTCCTGTTCCTTTCTTTGTAACTGCTGTCGGTACTCCTGGGCTTTTCTGTTTGCCTCTTTTAGTTGCTGTTCCAGTAGTTCCCTACTGTCCTTCTCATCGGACTCCTGCAGAAAACATTAAACAATTAAAAAGACAGTCAAAAAAGAAAACATGTGTAACAGTATATTGGATCTGTGCATTCGGTCTTAAAGTGACAGTGCCTAAGAAACCTGCTGCAGCCTGTGTCACTTATTACTGTTAATCAATGTACAAAAGAAAATGAAAATCACTCACTAATCTATATTTTATTTATAAAAGAAAACTATGCAGTGTTATTTTACAATTAATTTCAATTGCTTCAGGCGTATTTATTTGTGCTATTGCTAATTTGTTCTAATTGTATTACTGTTTACTTGTCTTTAATAATGTTTGAATTGTAGATTAGTTAGTCTAGTTTATTAGTCGGTTGTTCGTTAGGCTGCTGATTTTTCTTCATAGTATTCAACCTCAACAGAATGTTCTGCAAAAAGACAGAATAACAATGTGCGATATCTAAATGTTTGACTTATTTTTTTCCCCCCTATTGGAATCAAAATTGGGAATCGATCAGAATCGCTCAAGTTCAAAAGATACCCAACCCTAGCCCCATGAAATCAAAAGCTGACCATTTTTCTTTTTTAAAGGAATATTGCAATATTAATTATAAATGACTTATCCATGCAAAAAAAAAAAAATTCATGCCCTTGTAATCTTTAATCAAAATAACTTCACCCTCCCTCTTGCAGCGACACCTCTTCTCTTCTCTGATGACGTGTTTACTGGTGCGAGGGCAGGACAACCTGTCCCTCATATGACATCACAGCAACAGCAAACCACAATGATCCAATCAATTCTCAATGGACAAAATCAAGTCCCGCCCTACATTTTTTTCCCTTGTTCGAGAAGCAGTTTCACTCAGATATACACTCACCTAAAGGATTATTAGGAACACCATACTAATACTGTGTTTGACCCCCTTTCGCCTTCAGAACTGCCTTAATTCTACGTGGCATTGATTCAACAAGGTGCTGAAAGCATTCTTTAGAAATGTTGGCCCATATTGATAGGATAGCATCTTGCAGTGGATGGAGATTTGTGGGATGCACATCCAGGGCACGAAGCTCCCGTTCCACCACATCCCAAAGATGCTCTATTGGGTTGAGATCTGGTGACTGTGGGGGCCATTGTAGTACAGTGAACTCATTGTCATGTTCAAGAAACCAATTTGAAATGATTCGAGCTTTGTGACATGGTGCATTATCCTGCTGGAAGTAGCCATCAGAGGATGGGTACATGGTGGCCATAAAGGGATGGACACGGTCAGAAACAATGCTCAGGTAGGCTGTGGCATTTAAACGATGCCCAATTGGCACTAAGGGGCCTAAAGTGTGCCAAGAAAACATCCCCCACACCATTACACCACCACCACCAGCCTGCACAGTGGTAACAAGGCATGATGGATCCATGTTCTCATTCTGTTTACGCCAAATTCTGACTCTACCATCTGAATGTCTCAACAGAAATCGAGACTCATCAGACCAGGCAACATTTTTCTAGTCTTCAACGGTCCAATTTTGGTGAGCTCTTGCAAATTGTAGCCTCTTTTTCCTATTTGTAGTGGAGATGAGTGGTACCCGGTGGGGTCTTCTGCTGTTGTAGCCCATCCGCCTCAAGGTTGTGCGTGTTGTGGCTTCACAAATGCTTTGCTGCATACCTCGGTTGTAACGAGTGGTTATTTCAGTCAAAGTTGCTCTTCTATCAGCTTGAATCAGTCGGCCCATTCTCCTCTGACCTCTAGCATCAACAAGGCATTTTCGCCCACAGGACTGCCGCATACTGGATGTTTTTCCCTTTTCACACCATTCTTTGTAAACCCTAGAAATGGTTGTGCATGAAAATCCCAGTAACTGAGCAGATTGTGAAATACTCAGACTGGCCCGTCTGGCACCAACAACCATGCCACGCTCAAAATTGCTTAAATCACCTTTCTTTCCCATTCTGACATTCAGTTTGGAGTTCAGGAGATTGTCTTGACCAGGACCACACCCCTAAATGCATTGAAGCAACTGCCATGTGATTGGTTGATTAGATAATTGCATTAATGAGAAATTGAGCAGGTGTTCCTAATAATCCTTTAGGTGAGTGTACATCACAATAATGAAGAAAAGATTACCACAACTGAGTTGTCGCAGAAAGCCGCGAGTGAAATGGCTGCGTGAGTGAAATGCATGTAGATTCTGATAAAAAGACAATATTAGATAAGAAATCCTGCGGGGTTGAACACCGGCCGGGGGAGAGAGAGGTCACTGAGGACGGCAAACACGACTGGGGCGGTAGGTTGGCAAACACTGGGCAGTGACTGGAGCGTTGATGGAAGGAAGTGACGGTAGTTCCGGAAGTGATCCGGAGATGGAAGAAGATACTGGCGGTGGGATTAAAGGTTGTAAACAAAATGAATGGAATTTAGTAGAAAATCGGAAAAGGAAGAAGAGTGTTAACCAAGTATCGGGTACGGATAGTGAGAGAGAAAACCATATGACGAGAAGGAGGAAAGAGGAATATAAGGTAATGATACAATTCATGACAGGGGATATAAGCTCTTTGAATCCTTTAAAACTGTCAAAGGCGTTGAAAGAAACGATTGGAGAAATAGAGAATGCTAGGAGATTACAGGAAAGTAAACTGATGCTGGTCTGTAAAGATAGCAATCAACAAAAGAAAGCTCTAGGGCTAAAAACTTTGATGGGACAAAAAGTAAATTGTTCTGTAATGGGAGAGAAAAAATGGATGAGAGGAGTGATCACAGGAATTCCAACTAGTATGTCTGAAGAGGTAATTAAAAAAAGCATATCAGGCGCCTCAGTGATCGAAGTCAAACGACTAAAGTACATCAATAATAAGGAGAAAATGGATAGCTTGTCGGTGATGCTGAATTTTGACGAGGTTAAAATGCCAGAAAGAGTGTTTCTAGGATTTATGAGTTATTCAGTAAGACTATATACCCCTCCTCCATTGAGATGTTACAAGTGTCAAAAATATGGACATGTGGCATCGGTGTGTAAAGGGAGACAACGGTGTACAAGATGTAGTGGTAATCATGAGTATGGGAAATGTGAAGAAGGTGCGAAACTAAAGTGCTGTAACTGTGGAGAGGAGCATAGTGCGGCATATGGAGGTTGTCAGGTGAGGAAGAATGCTGTTAAGATACAACATGTTAAAATAACAGAAGGAATAAGTTACGCTGAGGCCATACAAAGAGTCAAAGGAACAGAACAAACGAATGCACAACAGAGTGAAGATGAACAAAGAATACAGAGGCAGACCCAAGAGGAAATAAGTAGACCTACAAACTTCATCAATGTAGACAAACTGGCACTTATCACCTTTATGGCGGATGTAATAAATTGCTCAGCACAAACAAAAAGCCGAACAGAGAGAATAAGAATAATAATTAGAGCAGCAGAAAAGTACTTGCAGGCAGAGGGATTAACAGTTGAACAGGTAAATGAGAAATTAAAGATGCAAATAACAAACTCGCAGGCTGCATGTGGAGATGTATAATGGTACTGATAATATTGCAGTGGAACGCAAGAAGCTTAATATCAAATGGGCAAGAATTTAAAAAATATATTGATGAATATGAAGAAAAACCTCATATTATTTGCATACAAGAATCTTGGCTAAAACCTCATTTAAACTTTGTCGTTCCCCAATATACAGTATTACGTAATGATAGGAAAATAATAAATGGTGGTGGTGTAGTAACTCTAATTAAACAAGAAATCGAATTTCGGGAGATAGATGTGAATGGAGAAGTTGAATCGATAGTGGTGGAGGTATGTACAAAAAATCAGAAAATACGAATAATTAATTTTTATAATCCATGTGATAGGCTTAAAGAAGATTTAAGACAAAAAGCTTGTGGTGAGGGAAGTTTTAAATTAGTGTGGTGTGGTGACTTTAACGCACATAATACGATGTGGGGTAGTGAAGCTAATGATCATAATGGAAAAATAGTGGAAAATATTTTAGATGTTAATGATCTAGTGTGTTTAAATGATGGAAGAGCAACTAGGATAGATGTTGCAAGAGGTCATCAGTCAGCAATAGACTTAACTATAGTGTCTCAAAGTCTGGCAAGACAATGTAAATGGGAAGTGCTTGATCAAAATACAATAGGTAGTGATCATTACCCCATCAGATGTGTAGTAGGTATAGAAGTGGAACAAAATATAAAACAGGAAATCCCCAGGTGGAAATTTAAAACAGCAGACTGGGAAAAGTTTAAGGAAGTTAGTGAGGCTAAAATGTTAGGAATGGTAATTGATAATCAAGAACCAGAGGAATTAAATAATACAATTATTGAGATCATTTGTAGTACAGCTGAGGAGGTAATTGGGAAAAGTTTAAGAGTAAGAAAAGGAAAAAGTGTACCATGGTGGACAGATGAATGCAGTGAAGTAATATCAGTTAGAAATAAAGCGTTTAAAAATGTCAAGAAAACATATTCATTTCAGGATGTAATAAAATATAAGAGATCTCAGGCAGCGGTTAGAAAAGTAATTAGATCTGCTAAAAGAAATTACTGGAGACAATATTGTGATGAAATTGGGGAGAGTGTAGATATAAGAGAATTATGGGGTATGATTAGGAAAATGGGAGGGAATACATTTAATAGGAATATACCTGTAATAATAGATGAGGATAAATGTATAACTATTGAAAGTGAAAAAGCAGAGGTATTAGCAAAAGCATTTGTAAAGGTTCACAGTAATTGTAATATATCAGAAGAAATGAGAAGGATAAGAGAGCAAACAATAAGAGAAAATCCTAATATCATGGTCCAAAGAAGGCCCTCTGAAAGTACTATGGAGGAAGTTTTTACATTGTATGAACTAAAACAGGTACTTATAGGTTTAAGAAATTCATCTCCAGGAAAGGATGAAATATGTAATGAGATGATAAAGAAATTATCAGATGTATCATTGAATTTAATATTAAATTTGTTTAATAAAATATGGGAGACAGGAAAACTCCCTTCTTCCTGGAAACATGGAGTAGTTGTTCCAATAGCTAAGCCTGGGAAAGATCATTCCAGAGCAGTTAACTACAGACCAATTGCACTAACATCAAACTTGTGTAAAATCATGGAAAGAATGGTAATAGCTAGATTAAATTACATAATAGAAAATAAAAATCTTTTATGCCCACATCAAAGTGGATTTAGAAAGGGTCGTAATACAATGGATGCTATCATATGTCTAGAATCAGAAATTAGAAAAGCCTTTGTAAATAAAGAAGTATTGGTTGGAGTGTTTTTTGATGTGGAAAAAGCATACGATATGTTGTGGAAGGAGGGATTATTAATTAAGTTGGATAAAATAGGTATTAAAGGAAGGTTATATAATTGGATAATGGATTTTCTTTTCAAGCGTACAATACAGGTCAAGATCGGCTCAAGTTATTCAAAAATATATACAATAGATAACGGTACTCCTCAAGGTAGTGTTTGTAGCCCCATTTTGTTTAATATAATGATCAATGATATATTTTCTCAGGTAGGACAAGGAATAGGTAAATCCCTCTATGCAGACGATGGAGTCATGTGGAAAAGAGGACGGAATGTTAAATTTGTTGAGAAAAGCATGCAGAGAGCAGTAGAGGAAGTGGAAGATTGGGTAAACAAATGGGGTTTCAAATTGTCAGTAGGAAACACGCAAGTTGTTTGTTTCTCAAAAAAGAAGAGTAGCCCACAAATAAAATTAAAACTATATGATCAAACGTTGGAGCAAGTATCGGAAATTCGATATTTGGGGTTGTGGATGGATTCAAAATTGAAATTTGACAGTCACATAAAGAAAATAATTGATAAATGTAAAAAAGGAATAAATGTTTTAAGATGTCTGGCAGGGGTAGATTGGGGTGCAAGTCGGCAATCATTAAAAAGAATATATTGTGCAATAATCAGACGAGTAATAGATTACGGTTGCATAGTATATAGCTCAGCATCAGCATCCAGGTTAAAGACAATAAATATTATCCAGTCGCAAGCTTTACGAATAAGTTGTGGGGCATTCAGAACATCCCCTATTCCAGCAATGCAGGTAGAAATGGCAGAAATGCCTCTGGATGTTAGGAGGTTACAATTAAAAATGTCATATTGGAGTACTATAAAGGGACACAAAGAGAATCATCCAGTGAAAAAGGTCCTAGAAAAGTGCTGGGAGTATGGAAAAGGAGAAATAAAAAGTTTTGGATGGAATGTAGAAAAAGAAGCCCAGAACATAGAAATAAGTAATATAAATATTAGTCCCACAGTGGTAATACCTTCTATACCACCATGGCTTTTCCCTAAACCATATGTAGATTTAAAATTGAAAGAAAAGATGCAAATAAAGGAAATATACATAACAAAGAATATAGTGGTGAAACAGCATCTAAATCAGGAATATTACAATAGTATCCAGATATTTACGGATGGCTCTAAGAACCCAGACACTGGACATACAGCAGCAGCAGTTTACATTCCCCATTTTAAATATAGTATTGAAAAGAGAATTACAGATTATGTTTCGGTATATACAACAGAAATGATTGGGATTTTAATGGCACTTCAATGGGTGGAAGAAGTTCGACCAATGGATGCAGTGATTTGTTCAGACTCCTATTCAGTTTTAATGAGTATAAATAGTGGAAAGTCAGCCTCTAGGCAAGATATTTTGTATGAAGTGTTACAAAACCTGTACAGAATATACAGAATAGGAGTAAGTATTTCATTTCTTTGGGTTCCAGCACATGTGGGAGTAGAGGGTAATGAGGAGGTGGATCAGCTGGCAAAGAGATCTTTAAAACGCAATGTAATAGACATTAATGTATCTCTGAGTAAAACTGAAGTTAAAGTATTAATAAAATCTGCTCTAAATAAGATCTGGCAAGAGAAATGGGATAAGGAGACAAAAGGTAGACATTTGTATAAAATTCAAAACAAAGTTGGGGTTGAGAGAAAGAAATACGGAAGTAGAAAGGAAGATTCTATTATATCTAGGCTTCGAATAGGGCATTCAGGACTTAATTACTCATTATTTATCATTGGGAAAAGAGAATCGGGGAATTGTGATAAATGTGGATTGTCAGAAACAGTTGAACATGTGTTGATTCAGTGTTCAGGATACAATAGAGAAAGAAGCAATTTAATTGAAACATTAGAATACTTAGGTATTAATACGTTGACATTAGATAGCATATTTCAAAACGCACAGAAAGAGAAAAGGGTGTATAGTGCTTTAATAAGATATCTAAGGGAAACAGGATTGGTTGACAGGATATAGTTAAATAGATTTTTTTTTTTTTTTTTTTTTTTTTTGATAAGTTGCTTAACGCTATTGACGCTTCACACTCCTGTCCAGTTGGTGGCGGTAAATGCACCTTTTTAGCTGGTTTGCCAACCGCCATAAAACTCTTAAAGAAGAAGAAGAAGAAGAAGATTACCACAACTTCCGTTCCATGCCGACTTTAACCCTGATATTAGTTTTTCACTCCAAAAAGTCAAATTTAAATAAGAATATTTACTGGTCACACCTTATGTTTGACATCTGTGTGGTTTACGGTTGATTCGAATTTCCGCTTCCGTGTTGGAACTGGTTTGGTGTCCTCTGTTATGATTTCTTCTGAAATCTGGCCAGCTGGCACTGCAACCACTAATATATACAGGTATGTCAGAATACAAATACTGCATCAAAGTCCTAAAAGAGCTATAAACTAATGCTGCAGCAATCTACTCACTTTGCTGCCCCTGCATTGTGACAAAGAATTTTTGTCCCAAGTTGCCAGACTGCAGGTTTCCCTGTTGGTCGGTTACTATGGTGATGACTCTCTGGCCATCTTCCCCTACAAGATGCTGGATGGCAGAATCCACTGAATCAGCAGCAATCACACTCTCGGAAGCTCCTGCAGAAATACACTATAACATTCTCTAGGTGCATACAGTTGAAATATAGGTTCAAACTTTAAAAGGTTCATTTAATACTGTTGTCTATGTTCCCAAATGTCAATATTAAAATGAACATTAAACAAGCACAAAATGCAAGAACAAAATCAGTCGTAGAACCCTGCTAAAGAAACATGTCACAACTAACGCATTTCTAAGTTGTACATCAAGGGAAATTTAATCATCATAGATTTACAATGTTTTTAATAAAGCTTACCAAGGTTGCATTTATTTGATCGAAACACATTGTGAACAGTGTTGAAATTTTCCTGTAATTTAATTACTTCTGATGTAATTGTATTATACAGTATATAGACTATAGAACAATTCTATATAAAACAATATTGGATTTATCATCAAAATGTAATGTCTAATGTTAAAATGTATGTTTTTAATGTAACCTTCTCCCTTTAAATATTTTGGTCAGTTCAAGAACAATTTATGCAATTTTATATAATTTTTTTATTTGAAAGAGTTAAAAGAGCAGTTTCATGTCTATTCTTGTATTGTTCAACTGATCGAGGTTGATATGGGATTTAGAAAGTAATTATTAATAAGTAATGCAATACTTTTTAGACATAGTGATTAGTACAGTAATCTAATTACACTGTTAAAGATGTAATTAGTAGCTAGTAATTAATTACTTTTTTATAGTAACTTACCCAACACTGACTGATTTAAATTTTTAATATATTTAAAAATGTAATTTATTCCTTTGATGTATTCCTCATTATAATATGCTGATTTGGAGCATAACAAACATTTCTTATTATTATCAATGTTGAAAACAATGTTGAAAACATTGCTTAATATTTTTCTGGAAACCGTGATACTTTTATTTAGGTTTCTTAAATGAATATAAAGTTCAAAAGAACAGCATTGATTTGAAATAGAAGTCTTTTTAACATTATAATTGTCTTTTATGTCACTTTTGATCAATGTAATGTGTCATTGCTTAAAAAAGTGTTAATGTCTACAAAATATTATTGACCCCAAACTTTTGAACGGTATTGTATTTGGAAAACTCCTTACATTTAAGCCAACAAACTGAATATACTAGGAAGAAGATTAGGGATTCAAATGATTTGTGACAGGGAAGATAGAAAATAGATTGCCAATTATTTAAAAATATATATTTTTTAAATAAAAAAATTATGTAAAACAGTTTTTAATGGCAGGCAAATTTTCAGTAAAAACAAAATGTAATGGAACTCATACCCGTGTTAGACTTAGAACTGGTGAGAACAATATCAGAGAGATTGACCACTCCAGAGGAGGATATGATGAACTGAGGGCTGGCGGTGGCGGGTGATGTGCTGCTTAGGATAGTCCTCTCTGGATTCATGTTCACTTGGTTCTGCATTCCCTCCTAGAATAACAAACAATAGTCAAGTTAAGATACTGCAGCTTGATTTCACCCAAGACCATTGTTAAATACACAGTAGCTGGTGACTTTTAGATTGTGCCTTAATATCTAATAGCACAACACATCATTAAAAAGCTCATTTTCACCTGTAACAAGAGCATCAGCTCAGTGTTTCCTCGGTCCACTGCAATGTTAAAAGGCGTCTTGTCAAACTTGCTGAGGGCGTGAGTATCAGCACTGTATTTGACCAACAGCTCCACGACTCCCCTGTGCCCATGTTCTGTAGCCCAGTGCAAGGCTGTCATTTTCAGCATGTCTTTGGCATTGATGTCTGCTCCACTCTGTCCCAGTTAAGAGCAAAATCAGATTTAACAACACAATAAAAACTCAGAATGTTAAAATTCAAACAATCCAATACTATTCTGAGATCATCTGTTCTTACCTTGACCAATAATTCAACGATGCTCGAGTGGCCCTCAGCTGCAGCCATGTGGAGGGGGGTCCGATCGACTTTAGTGCGGGCATCTCTACTCACGCCGGCACGGAGAAGCACCTCAGCGGTGGAGTAGTGCCCATATTGTGCTGCTAAATGAAGTGGCGAGGTTCCCAGCTAAAAAATATTGTCATTGTCATTACTGTTATAGTGAAATACAGATTATAAATAGCAGACAATAGGTAATTGGTCTGCATTTGTAGTATGCTTTGAGCAGCAAACAACTCACCCAGTCTGTAGTAAAAGGAGCTCCATTGGCCATAAGTGACCTCACTTCATCATCCTGTCCTTTCCGCGCTGCCTCCAACAAACGCTTTCCCAAATCCACAAGCGACATCTAATGATGCAAATATTGATACTGAAAAGTTGCTTTATATCTTGACAACCACCTGTTTACAGTCATGGGGTGTTTAACCAGATGTAGTGTTTGAAGAAAATGTCCAAAAGATGTTAATGAAACAGTTTTCCATATATACAAACTGTGTGCTGAATGGCACTGTGGTTATATTAATCATAAGGCTTTATACCACAGTGCCAGGAAGCGGATGTGTACATTAATGCAAGACATAATTCATCATCAATGACAGGACGGGAAATAGTCATCATTTTATAATAAGGCAAGTTCCGGGGGAAGTTGATTTCATGCTGGACACTTTTGTTTACAATAGCCGTGTGTGGCTGGGTGGACATTTTCACACACTTTAAAAAGTCAGGTTAACCGTCAATTATATAGTGTTATTATATACAACAAAAAAAAAAAGTTTGATTTCTATCAAAACAAGTCTAACAATAACTATTGTTGCCATATTGGTTGTCTTCAACGTGATTTAATATACAGTCTATTTTCCGAGATATCAAACTACGAAATAATTTTTATGCGCACGCTAATACTCTGACAAGTAAATAAAAAATTATTGAAACTATGAAAGTGCACATTTATCCTCTTCAACAAGTTGAGTAAGTTAACGTTAAGTTACGCTTAAGTTTTTAAGTTAGAAATAGCTGTCCGTATCCGACAGGAGATCTGCAGTTAACTTACTATATCACCAAAACTTTGTAAAATATGTAACTTAATTCAAATCTCTTTTAATGACAGTTCATCAAACTCCTGCTGTCAGTTTCTAGTAAACAGAATAAAGCAAAACTTCAGCTGCTCACCTCGCCGAAATGTTTCCCGAAGACTTTTACTTTATTATAACACGTTAGACACGGTAAAAACCAGGCGTATGCTTGGGTTATTTAATGCGATTTAGTGTTCTATCATACTTTTCGATACTTTTTGAAAACAAAAATAACATAGATGGACTATTTATCGTCAAAGATGGCGCACGAACGGTACCGGAAGTAGAAATATTTGATTGGTTCTTCTGTGGTAGTGTTTAAAAGTTGAGACTTCTGTAGCGCACCCTACTGCATAACTGGTAGACGTTCGTTACACCAGTAGAAAAGTGTATATCATCTATTCTATTCTATTCTTTTCTCTGTTTTTGGAAGTGAAGAGGTTTATGCAAATTAATTTCCTCCAACTTGTTATTTTACTATTTAAATCTCTCTTTAGGATTGGACTGCTGAGATTGCTACGTTTTTTCTATTTAAAATATTTAAAAGCACTAATTTGGGGTCATTGCATTGAAATAAATTGTGTATTAATCATAATGCATTGTCACATTATGAAAATTAATATTTTTTGCCAATGTAGTATTGGCAAACAGCTCATGCTGTTCATATTTCTAATAAATATTTTAAATACATTTTTCATTAAAAATACATGTTAGCTATTGTTTTATATCAATAAACACTAATGCAGAAAAAATACTTAATGTGACACACTGCATTATGTTTAATACACAATTTAATGCAAAAGTGCACACTGATTTACTGATTTTAAATAGTGAGAATTGGCAAACTGGGGAATCTCAGCGATTTTATCCTAAAGACCATGAGAGATTTAAACGCAGTAAAGTAACAAGTTGGAGGAAATTAATCTAAATAAACCTCTCAAATTTCACAAGATAATCGAATAAATAAATAAATAAATCTATAGATTAAAGAAGGACATGTTTCTTAAATGTTATGTTTACATACATCAGACATATTGAATACAGGAATACTTTTGTCCTCTGTAGTGGACATTATAAATTTCTCTGTCAACTTACATGTCAGCTTTAAGTCTGGATGTCCTGTAAAGAGCACATTCAGGGCTTTTCAGAGATACCAAATGTTTGGAGGTTTCACCATTACAACAACTTCTTGGTCTTTAGACTGACATCAAATGTAGCACTCTTATGGAAATATGATAATATTTTTTAATTATCATTTAAATCTGACTTGTCATAAATCAACATCTCAGGATCTCACTCACAAATGTGGTTTCTAATCAAAAGATGTCTTTCTGTTAAAAAAACTAGGCCATTGATTTTATACATGTCCACTGCAGAGGACACCAGGGCTTAAAGCATATTTACCAACATTTTGCACAAAGTAAAATCAATTATATCTGTCATAACATAGTTGAGAATCATCTTTATCCAATGTTTGGTTAAAAAAAATCCTGAAACCTAAAAATTGGTAGGTGAATGAAAGAACATTCACCTTTTTATATTTTAAACGAGTATGGTGCATTTTGTAAAAATGTTTTCTTTTTCTTTTTCATTTGTTTCTTCTCTAACAATGCAACGACATGAACAAAAATAAAATAAAACTAAATTTAACAACGTTTGTCTTCTGGCTCTATATCAGTAGCCCATTGGTGGCGCTGATGGTCTCTGTTTTGAAGTATTTCCTCATTTTAATGGGGGAAACTTCAACCACACCTCAGTGATCTGGGAAACACAGAGTCATTTCCACCCTCGGCTCTCCACACAAGAGGCGCTTCACTGGGACTCTCTTTTACATGTAAGGAAGTAAGCATATTTCTTTATATTTTATATCGTATGAGGAAAAATAACTTTTTCCAAGACTCTATTTAACTTTTTTAATTCATTTGAGCCGCTACCATGGCCCGATGTCGAGCTGGATTGTTGTGCCAAACTTTCAGTAACAGTTCAGTTTGAATAACATCGCTGGTGTGCTCGAGTAACGTTAATGAAGACGAGAAAGATAGTCAAGTTTAATTTAGTCGGATTACTCTCTGACAATTTAATCATCGAGTTGCTGCGAGTTAAAACTAGTCGATAGGGGGAAAAAAACATTTCTAAACTTTTAGACACCGAGTTAGTGTTTTTCTTAACTTCCCCCGGTCTGTTTGTTTTTCTGTTTGCGGCTGAGTGGTTTTAACGTTTGTAAACCGTTGTTCCTCGTTTACTGAACTCATTCTAGGTGTGTTTAGTAACTGTCAGTTTAACAGGTTTGTTACTCATTGTTACACCGATTTTCCGTGTATTTCTCTTAGTTGTAACGGTTTTTCACATTAAAGTGTCAGTGCCATAGGGTCAGTGCACAAGAAAGCGGTTGTGTGTCTTTAAAAAAAAAAAAGTGAACTGCCTTCCTAGACAGCATAAAGGGCCCTATGATTGCTGTCTATCTAGACAGCACAGCTCAACGTTTGAGACCGTTGCAAAGTTTGGATTTATACTATTGTTTGTTTATTAACTAATTCATTAATTTATTAGAAACTACCATGGTACTACTACCATGTGTTTTTTTTCCAACATCCACCATACCATGCTATTCTTTGAAGTTAATTGGAGTACCATGTTAATACCTACATGAATATGTTAAATATTCAGTACAATTGTATCAAAGTAGGCCTACCATGTTATTACCAAATGATACATGTGGAAATGTCATGATATTACTGCATGGTGGGCGGTACTGCCATACTACTAAAATTTATTTTACGCAAATAGTAGGACCATTCAGATTTTTTTAAAAGTTATTTGGAGTAACGTTACTAACACTGCCCAGCCAAAAAAAAAAAAAAAAAAAAACATATGAGTCTATGATTTGGTCATTATTGCATTGTGATTAATCACTGATTATTACTGGTTATTGTTTCTAGCATGTTAAATAATGCAACAGTTCTTCTAACCCTAATTGATGGAGGGAGTAGCTTTTCATTTCTTAAACAACCATAAGACTACACATCATGGCCATATTCCAGGATGACAATGTCAAGATTCATCAGGCTCAAACTGTGAAAGAATGGTTGGGAGGGAGCATGAAGAATAATTTTCACACATGAATTGGCACCTTTGACTCCAGACCTTAAATTCATTGAACATCTTTGGGATGTGCTGGAGTAGACTTTACAGAAGACCTTGATGCACCTCTTGATGGAAATTACATCAATTACACCACAATATCTATTTCCGTCAAGAGAAATGTGCATATATTTTTGCATACATTTTTGGTCAAGATCTTGTATTTGTTTTGTAGATTTTATTTGCATAATTTCTGTCTTTTTTATGTGGTATGCTAAATGTATGGTGTGCTTGTATGATGGATCATGTCTACTTAATTAAAATAGTTTCTTTCTTTCTTTCTTTCTTTCTTTCTTTCTTTCTTTCTTTCTTTCTTTCTTTCTTTCTTTCTTTCTTTCTTTCTTTCTTTCTTTCTTTCTTTCTTTCTTTCTTTCTTTCTTTCTTTCTTTCTTTAAACAGATTTGTTTGCAACATCACTGCCTGGCATAAACACCACAGTCCTACAGAATCAACTGGAAATTAGGGGCCCAGAATAACTGAGGGAATTAAGGGGTCTTATATGTACTTAAAGCACAGACATCAACAAGGATTCTGTCGCTGATCAGGACAGAGGTTTTTGGACGTGCCACGGCTTATATCGCTGAGTGTTGAGGATTAGATTCTCTCTCTATCTCGTCTCTAAACGGCCTGCAGGGTGGCGAGAGAGAGGGGGGAATCCAACCGGTGCGCGCCGGAGATGAGTGCGTTCTGGCATAAGATCGGCTGCTGCGTGGTAGCCAAACCTGCTCCGGTAAGTGCCTCGTTTGGAGAGATTTTTATATTTTTTTTCCCAGACTTTCATCATAAACCATTCTAATACAATAAAACCTAGTTTTCAAGAATTTACATGAGTCACAGGTATATTGATACCAGGCTCCTCTTGAGATCAACATCTGGACTAATTTCGTCAATTTGGCCTTCCCCGTGGCTCATGCAAGTTTTGTGTTCGCTAATCACGCGAAGAATGACTCACGCTGGTCTAGGACAGAAAAGAAACCTTTCAGCTGATGTGAATGTGACCCAGATAGTCTCAGGAGTTTGTCAGGAGTGCAAATGTGTTTTGGAGAGTGAAGCCAGACGTGAAACCTAGATGGACAAAGAATGCTCTGTCATTGGACGGGGTGGATGTGTAGAGGTAGCGCATGTGAAGGAAGTCTGATAAATGTGCCCATACATGCATATTTAATATTTATTATTAGGATTTATGACCAAGAGTTTGGGGTCAGTAAGATTTTTTAAAGAAATACTACTTTTATTTAGCAATTATGTATTAATTTGATCAAAAGTGACTTTAAAGACATTTACAAATGTTACAAATGTTTCTATTTTAAATAAATGCTGTTCTTTTGAACTTTTTGTTCATAAAAAATAAAAATGTATCATGTGTTCCACAAAAATTGTTTTCAAAATGTATTAAGAAATGTTTCTTGAGAAGCAAATCAGCATATTAGAACGATTTCTGAAGGATCATGTGACACTGAAGACGTGAAAATTCAGCTTTGCCCATCACAGAAATTATTTAATTTAAAAAATATATATATATTAAAGTACAAAACAGCTATTTTAAATTGTAGTAATATTTCACATTATTCCTTTTTTTTTAACTCTGTTTTTCTGTTTGATTGAATAAATGCTGCCACGGTGAGCTTAAAAGACTTCTTTAAAAATCTTACAAAAAATCTTACCGACCCCAAAATCTTTAACGGTAGTGTACGAAGCATGTATTTTTTGTTAAATTCATCAAGTTCACCCCAAAATTAAACTTCTTGTCATTCTCTCACCCTAATGTCAGAGTCATTCTAAACCCATATGACTTTTTTCAGTTGAACACAAAAGGAGAAGTTTAACATAATGTTGATGCTGCTATTTTTCATACACTGACCACCATCTGTCAGATTCCAAAATGAACAAAAGCACCATAAAAGTTTTGCATGACTCGGATACTATATTCCAAGTCTTCTAAGGCCATATAGTTTGATATGTTACTTTTATCTAAAAAAAAATATTTTCCACTTTAGCTCTCAAATCTCATTCGGGCTTGTGCATATTCAAATGTGGTGCCACAAGATGTGTTGTGCCAGGTGTGACCTCAAACATTATTGATCATGACCTCAAACGTTATTGCTGTGAACAATGACTGAAGTATCAGTCTGTTCCTCACACAAAATAATCATATGGCTTTAAAAGACTTTGAAAATAGAGCACGAGTTCTACAATATGGATCTTTTTTATGGTGCTTTTATGAGCTGTTGGCACATGACAGTCCCTGGCTGTTTACTTTCATCTCATTGGAAAAAGAGAAAGTTTGGACATTCTGCTAAACTTCTCCTTTTGTGTTGCTTGAACAAAACAAAGTAAAGAGTTTGGGAAAAGTGAGTAAATGATGGCAGTAATTACATTTTTTGGATGGACTATCCCTTTAACATTCCGGTCAGTAAAATAATCATGTTTTTATTTCTAGAATAGCTATGGATTTGACAAATTATTTGGCTCCATTCAATCTTTGTTAGTCAGTTTGTTTTATCTGGATTAGGGTTCTGAGCCAATGATGAGTGACCCAGGTTTACTGTAACAATGACAGGGGGTTCTGAAGGGAAGCTAGCTCCTCCGAGCTGGGAGTGCTCATTCTTTTCCTCCCTCCTTCCTCTTTATTTTTAGGTTCTTGTTTGTTCTATTGTTGGGTGGGGGGGTGGGGTTAGACATCAGTGGGCATCTGTAATACAGACCAATGCTACTTCCCCAGTGCAAGAGCAATTTTCTTAAACAGATTTGGATAAAATGATTACTTTAAGTGTCTCACTCTCCTTACATCAGATAAGGACTAACGCATGTGCTATGGGCCATTGGCTATATACACATTATGAGAGTAAACACCTTTGAAGGATGTCTGGAGTTACATAAGAGTTTTGCATTTATGGATTTGTAACTTTGGGCTGTTTTCACACTGGGTGGTTCTTTCTTTCTTTCTTAATAATACTAATAATTAAATTATTTCCGATTAAATAATAATTAACAATACGCATAGTCTACTTAGGACTTTGAGGTACATTTTTGAATAAAAGGTATATAGTTTAAAGGGTTAGTTCACCCACAAATGAAAATGATGTCATTAATGACTCACCCTCATGTCGTTCCAAGCCCGTAAGACCTCCGTTCATCTTCGGAACACAGTTTAAGATATTTTAGATTTAGTCCGAGAGTTTTCTGTCCCTCCATTGAAAATGTACGTACGGTATACTGTCCTTGTCCAGAAAGGAAATAAAGACATCATCAAAGTAGTCCATGTGACATCAGTGGGTTAGTTAGAATGTTTTGAAGCATCGAAAATACATTTTGGTCCAAAAATAACAAAAACTATGACTTTATTAAACATTGTATTGTCTTCCGGTTCTGTCCGCAGTGACCCTGCTGACGTGTTTTCTGGTAACCAGTAACCAGAGAACACGTCAGTAGCGTCTTACGTCACTGCGGACTCGTGATCGCAGAACTGGAAGAGAATACAATGTTTAATAAAGACCAAAATGTATTTTCGATGCTTCAAAACATTTATTCAAAAGTACCTTCATGTGCTCGTTGAATTTGTAATATTGACTAATTATTTTAAAGGGGTCATGACATGGATTTTTTTATTTTTATTTGAATATTTCTTGAGGTTCACTTATAGCCTAATGTTAATAGTTTTTTTTCCCGCAAACAAAAAAACAAACATATATATATTATTTTTAACCCTCATTCTGACACCGTCTGAAATGATCTGTTTTTAAGGGGCGGCTCCTTTAAGACTTGTCAGTAAACTGCCACTGTTATGATTGGATAACATCATTGCATAGGAAACGGTATCAACATCCACTCCATTTGCTAATGCACATGTCTAAGTGAAGTCAATAGTGAAGTGTAAGTGTTTTGAAAACATCCATAAAAAAGCCTTATGAAATCATTTACTTATGGATTGTGATGCAGCTGCTGTCAGATCCAATACATTTGGCTTCTTCATCTTTCAACTAGAGTTAATTTTGTCAGCTTAGTCCTGTGTCAAGTGTACTTTTTTAGTTTTTATCATATTTAGTCAACCTTGTCCTGTTTTTGTTTAGTCAAGTTTAAGTCTACTAAATGTCTGGGCATTCTATAGTTTTAGTTAAAAATTAACTAAATAATGGTTAAATAATAATAAGGATTGTTTTGCTGAAAATTATAATCACAAAGATTGTTGTCATATATACATACTCTGTTAAAACAACAGAAAAAAATACTTTTGCCACAAAGAGGTTGGGTAAGTACATTGATTCTGCAATTGTAAAGAATATAGTTGAGATCCATGTTTGGATTTATTACAGTTCATCACTGAGAAGCTTTGATTGCAGATTTAGCATACAGTGCAAGCGGCTCATGACAGAACACAGACTGGCTGAAGGACACTTTTATTTAAGCAGAATATCTCAACATCGGCAGAAAATGTATCCTTTTAACAGAAAAGCTCTGATTGGGGGATTTAAACTCTTGACATCTGGCAATTGCAAACATGAAAGCACGTATCAGAGGCTTGTACAGCAGTCTGTAATAGTATGTCTCTTTTTTGACATAAAGAGATTTTGGTAAAGTTTTTATTTTTTATCTACATTCTAGTCTGGTCTTCTTTCGTCAACGATATTGCATGTTGCACCTTATTCTTATCTCATCATCGTCTCGTCATGGGGAAAAAGCTTGTCGACAAGCATTTTTCATCATAGTTTTCATTAACAAAATTAAATTTACTTTCAACAAAAGTTTATTTGCGAGCTCTCCGTTACACTCCCCAGTTTAAAAACAAAATGTTATGAACAAACATGATTATCTGATGTGATTTGGGACAGCATTAATATAAACCACCATCCATTTGTTCCTGAGGCTGGGATCCTTCTTAACCCTCAGGTGCTCTTCGGTCATTTCTGACCGAAAAATTTTCTGTTTTAAATTTTTAAAAATCACAGCTTCATCGGAATGTTACGAAACTTGGTGACTTTTATTGCATTGGGTATGTGAACAAACAAAAAAATTTGGTTCATGATCCGAGCAGGCTAAGTGGTCATAAAAAAAATAGTCACACTTTTGCTCTTCTGTCAAACATGACCGACCATAGGAAATGAATGGGAAATTGACAAAAACACAAAAATTCTCAGAATTTTTGTGTGTACAATCTACAAATTGGCCACGATGCAGAAAATAATGCTCAACAATGAAGGGGTGACACTCTAAAACACCAAGAGTGCAAAACAGACACACTCACACACACACACAAACACACACTTTTATACACATACACACCAATGAATTGACCGACCATAGGAAATGAATGGGAAATTGACAAACACAAATTCTCTACAAATCGCCCACAATGCAGAAAAAAACATCAATAGTGAAAAACATAACATAATTAATAATTATAATTAATATATATATATAATATAATAATTATTACAATTATTAAAATTAATATATTTAAAAATAATAAATTAATGTTTTAAAATAATAATAATAAGCTGTGAAAAACCATTACAGTTTATTTTTGTATTTTTTTTATTGAATTGTAATTTTACCTGTAACAAAATGTTTTCTCTGTATTCAGGTTTGACTGTAGTAATAATGCCAAAACGTGTACACTTCACATCAAATTTATTTAAAAAAAAATTATAAACCATGGCAAAAAATATTATTTGAGAATTAAAAAAAAAAAAACATTCAAATCCACATCTTAAAAGTAAGTAATTTTGTCCAAAAACTATTAGAGAATTCACAAGCCTCTCCATAGAGAGCTATACAGGCATCTAGTGGTTACACTATGAAACGACATGTTTTATTTTAATTTCTCTCAACAGATGGCGCTAATCTGACTTCAAAAATTGGATTTAAAAGGCTCATTTATAAACGTTGCGTACGCACAAAAGAAGGCGTACACCGCTCTCTACACAATAATTGGTATTTATAAAAAGCAAACTTGACGGTAAAATGTGCGGTCCTTCACGCAAGCTCTGACCCAGGCGTACGCACAAAAACGGGTGAAATGAGAAATGGCGACACCGTCGGCAGATGGAAGAAACACGTGAAAGTTTGTGAAACTGTGGACCGTTGTGTAAAATAAATGGCAATACTGCCTCTCATAAATAACACGAAGACTTCACAAAGCAAGTCTTACAGTTAACAGCCTACACGAACACCCGTTTGATCGATCTGCAACAGAAATGCAAATTAACACATATTTGCAAAAAGAAAAGTGAAATATGTTCTGCAATAATATTGGCATGTTATACAATTCATCCTCATAAATAAGATGGTAAACAGAACGAAATAATGTACAAAACTGATATTCTCGCCAATGTGTCCGTCTGGCGGAGCAGATATAGCTAGATAGTCAGTCAGATAGATAGATAATTAGGGAGAGATAGATAAATAGATAGATGTATTATTTGTCCACTGGGGAAAGTTGTTTTCATAGTAAAAATGTCTTTATCAGCTACGGAATCATGGTATTCATGCAGGTATTTCATGCATATGCCTTTAGTTTGTTTTATTTTTGATAAAATAACGTATGACGTATGTCTCAACCATTCAGAAAGCTGCAAGAAATTACATTTGCGCTGAACTATTTCCCATTTCCAAGTAGATTATAACCGACATCTGTAGCTTGTCATTTCTTTTTTATTTCGGCCACAGTCCGAGGTTGTGAGGCTACAGCATTTACGGTGTCTGCAACCTTTTGCCACTCAAGTGCCTTTTTGGCATTAGTAATGCCCACACTATGCCCTCCAAACAACATTTTTCTCCTCTTTTCCACCTCGCCAACGATAACTTCTACTTCACATTGAGTGAAGTTACGTTTTTTTGATTTCCTCTCTATGTTTGCCATGATTTCGCAATCGATGAATATTAACTTATGGGCGTTTCACGGACTATTTATGGGCAACTATGGGTGTGACATGAAGCCGCAAAAGCTGCGCTACATTTAGAATTGATCGTGATTTATTAAGGGAAAAATGCGTAGGATGTGCGTGCGCACGGTTTTATAAATCCGAATATTTCTGTGCGTACGCACGTCCTATGTTTCATCCGTACGCCACTTCTGACGCAAATCCTACGCAAAGTTTTATAAATGAGGCCCCAGGTCTCTATATTAATCTGAAATACTGCAATAACTGAAGAAATATTTGTATAAATTAGGAAAAAAAATTTTTTTTATTGTTTTCAATGGCAAAAATGGACCATGAATATTGCATAAATATTAATAAGTAACATCAAATTGTCTCAAAATACCAAATTAAAAAGAAAAAATATTATTGAACAAAAATAAATTGCATTGGTTTTACTGGGATGGAGGAAGTTTCATTTTTAGGTGTCCGGTCACTTCTGACCGGGAAGATAACAAGTGTGACTCCGAAACGAAGAGCACCTGAGGGTTAAGTCTGTACAGAGACGCAAATGAGCTGTTTAAACGGGATGCGTGTGAAAGTGAACGTTCTTCGCTCTTTCATTAGTCCTGTTGTCGACACTCAAGTGCGTGAATATGTCCGAAAATGAAAGTGCATCTGTGTACTATATCCATTGTAGACAGCGTCAGTCATTATAATGGGTTCTATTTGATTTTGACGCAATGCTCACTTCAAATGTAGCCAAATGTCAGCCATTAAGCAACTGAATGCATGGGGCATATGATGCGATTATATATAACTATTCGTCGAAGTCTGGAGGCAGTCAATTGCAAATGTATTTGCCCTTGTAATGTCACAGATCCTGCAGTGTCATTACGAGTGGTTTTTGGAGCTTGATTAAATAAATGCTTTGTTTTTAATGAGGAGGACGTTTTAAGCTATGGTACTTGCAGGATGTTCTAATGTACAAAGATCTCATTATGTCAGAGGATCATTTTGATTTCTCATGTCATGACCCTTTCTTAAATTACTATTTAGAAATAAATATTTATATTATAAAATAATAATTATCATTTTAATCATCATGCATAAATTAAAGATAAATATTAACAGCCCTATTTTAGTCTAAATTGTACCTCAAAGTATTTATTGCATTTGTCATAGTGATGATTGTTTAATTAGAAAATTACCGTTATTTATAAAGTACTATTTATGTAATGATAAAAATAATGTTAATGCATTTATTATTATTATTATTAACATGCATTGCAAATGTATAAATATGTAATCAATAGCGACTCACTTCTGTGAGTTAGGATGGTTCATACCAATTGTGAATTGTACCAGAGTTTACATGAACCATACACAGACCACCTTTTCAAACAGACTCTTGCGGCTTGCTTGTACACTTTTACTTCAGTCAAATGAACTAAACACTGACATCAAATGATCTGTTTCAAAACTATAGTGTGAGTTTTCAGATGAGTCTAGAAGATATATTTGATGCTTGACAATATAAATCCAGTGCTATGTGTTGGTAAATGCACTTTCTTCACTGTGGGCAGACAAGTAATGGCATGTATGACAACACCCCTACTATGGCACATGATCTCATCAAATAATTATTCCAGTTGTTGATACAAGGTTTTTTTTTTTAGATTTACTTAATCTCTCTCTAACTTTACCACATAGGCGAGATCTGGGAAAGAAAAGAGAAACCGTTGAGTAAACTGTATAACATTTGGGGATTTTTAGGATCTTCAGGATGTATCCAGGTCAGGAATAGATTCCATAGGGAAAATTTAGTGTAATATCACCCAGGCACTGGTGTGGTCACATGACAGGCTTCATTGAGTTCACTCACTACACTTATATTTTGAACACCTGTGGCATAAGTTGTCTGCCAATCATGTGCTTTGTATCTTTATGCTGGACTGTCTTTAATATAAGCCTTTATGTTCACAGAAGAAGAAACGGAGGAGAATTGACCGTAGCATGATCGGAGAGCCCACAAATTTCGTTCATCTGACACACATAGGCTCTGGTGAAATGGCAGATGGCATGCAGCCGGTAAGACATGTTTTATTGTGTTGGTACAGTGGGACACACTCATTTGAATGTTTATGACATGGCTATAATACATTTACAATGACAGAATGAATACTTCTGCATGGATTCTTTACTAAACCTCTGGGTCATACCGGGACGTCACAGGCAAACAGGGTTGCTGGAGAGTTTTGTACAAATACACCCGACACCCACTGTCAAACCTTTTGAAAATCCCTGTGGTTTTTCTTTTGTCCTCTTTCCCTTTCGTTTTTGCCCTCACACCCGCTGCACCTGCCAGTTGTCTGAGCATGTCATGTTTAACTTCTTGACATGGATGTTGGACGTTTCCCAATAAAGTGGTCATCCTGTGCTGCCAAGACTTTCAGTTTTTCTTTAGAATAGTAATAATAATAATAATAATAATAAATAAAAAAACTAAACAAAAATTATGAATAGTATTATTATTATTAGTGATATTTTTATTATCATTATTATTTTCATTATTATTATGTAAAGACATCATAAATATTAAGACGTCTAAAAAGCGTGGGAGCAATAATATTTCCAATTTGTTTATTTTAGTTTGTAAAAAAATCATGACAAATTATTTGTATTATTATGCAAAGACATCATAAATGTTAAGACTTTATAAATGTAATGAGCTTAGAAGCACTACTCTTTCTGTTTAGTTTTTTAGGTTGTCATTTTTTTTTTTTTTACTTTTATAATTATTATTATGTAAAGGCATCATACATTTAATGAGCTTGGGGGTAATATATTTAGTTTAAGTTTGTAAATAATATAAATAAATACCATTATTATTCTGTCATATAAATCTAATTCACAAAGCATGTGTGGTTGAAAAAAGTAGACATGGTGCGTGTGTAAGATGTGAACCTGAAGTGGGACTCGTGTGAGATCTTAGCCTGTGTTCATTGGCCTGTTGTGTTGTCAAATAAGAAAGGTGAGGAGTTACCTAATCCTGCAGTTCACAGAGGGACTGAATGTGAATACCTGGGCAGAATCAAGCAGACTGCAACTTGCTCAGAGGAATGTTGGCGGGCGGCCCGTCAGAGCCAGAAAAGAGCTCTTTAAATTAGGAAATGTTCGTCAAGGTCTTTGCAGTGGTCATTGTTTGATTTTTAAGTGGCGATCTTTAGCTTCATGCGTGGTTTGCAAAATGTACAGCTCTTAGTTTACTCCACACCTCTTAAGAAATGAGCAGTTTGTTCAATGGCGGCTTTAATAGTTGTATCAAAGCAAAGACTGGACCTGTTAACAATACTGTGCTGATAGCCGAATCTTCCAGTGATAAGCGGTATTGGTTGATATCAGCCTTTCATAGTCCATGTGATGCGCCGAGTGTTGAACAGATGATTGACCCGGGGTTTTCCCTTGTGTTTCTGTTCTTTTGTGTTGTGCTGGGAACTTGTGTATAGAATGACCCAGTGAAAATGGACTTCCTCTTCGTTCTGCTGTAAGATTCGGTGTTCCTGAGACACATGATGTAACAATGGGTGTGACGCTGTGAAGAGCTCTGTGTGTGAAACAGGCTTGTTGTTGCATGAAGGATGTAGGTTTCTTTTTTTTTTTCTTCAGCTCCACCTTAAGAAGTGTGAACTTTTTGTTTATGCAGCATTTGTTATGCAACAGTATGCCATATACAAAAGTTTCATTTACAAAGACGGCACAGGGTCATTATTATAATAATAATAATAATAATAATTATTATTATTTTTATTAAATATCATATTTTCAGATATTACCTTAATCTAGTGTTTAATGTGGCTGTTTGTGAATGTAAAAGGTCTGCAAAGGTTTAAAGATCAAAGTGCACGACAAATAAAGTTATTGTCTCCTAAAAAAAAATAATCGCTTCTGAACTGCTGAAACAAGTTGTCAACTAGGGCTGTAGTCAACCAAAGAAATCCTTAGTCAACCAAAGTCTTGTCCTGCGCAGCGATTAGTCGACTAAAAAAAAAAAAACGCGATGTTTTGATTTAGAATTTTTTAACAATTGTCATAGAGCATTTATAAAACAACAACGGAAAAACATCAAAAATACCTAAACCTATAATAATAATACAATTCTTTGAAAATTAAGTGATTTTTTTTTTTAACTGCAAAAAGTGAGGAGCTCTGTCCGTAACAGTCACAATCGCGCACCTGACCACACCACACGCTACAAAAAATATAACTGCTATCTGCCACAATGAAAAATCCTAACAAAAGCTCTCGTTTATACAGGCTGTATATTCTTCTTTACTTTCAAAGCCATGGGTTAACTTTTGTCCAGCCGATCTAGGAGTTAAAAAACAAACACACAAAAAACCCAAAGAGCCTAAAAACAATCCTAATAATAATAGGCTGTATTGTAGGACCGCATATAGGTTTATTTTCGTTTTGTTACATTATTTAGGCTATTTTCAAATGCGTCAAGTGTACAAATAAAAACAAAAACATATCAAGAAAACAATCTATTGAGTCAGCATGATAAAGCCGTTAAAGTGACTGCTCACGTCTTCGATTTCAGTTCGATTTCAAATGTAGGCGCGCGGTGTGCGCGCTGATGATGGAAGCAACGCGGTCGCGGTGCGACGCGCTCTTTTTTTTTTTTTTTTTCAAGTGCGTCCACGCCGCATCGAGATAAAAACATATAGTGTATAAAAACATAAAAACCGAAACAAGTAGCGTTCTAACTGAATGAATACAGCTAAACTACCTATATCCCTTACTGAGCACGAAGCAGCAGCGCAGCCAGCCACAGGTGCCAACCGAGTGTTCTATGTGTGTGCGCTAAACTGTGGCGCTGTTACAAAATAGCCTAAATTAAAGCATTTAAAGTTGGGGATAAACCATAGGCTAATTATATTTAGAATACAGTAATATATAACTGCTTATAAAGGAATAAATATCAAGGAGTAAATCATTGTAAAATTCTTTCTATTGCGGTAAAAAAAAAAAAAAGCAACTGGTCGACCAATAAGAATGTCAGTCGACCAAGACGGCATCGACCGATTAGTCGACTAAACGACTAAAGTTGACAGCCCTATTGTCAACTTTCTTTTACATGCCTACGTAACAATGTAACAAATTTGCATCAAGCCAACCGTCTTCATTGGCTCCTCGCGAACAACGTCTACTTTGACAGACTCAATCTGTAGTTGTTGCTGAAGCATAGAGGAGTTTGATTTGTGAAGGATGAAGACTTGCGCTGGAATTGATACAGAGAAACCGAGCGCTGAGGAAGCCTCTGGAGCTGAAATTCAGAGATGGGCGCTTGGGCGTTTCGTTTCTGACACACGCTGTAAGCGGTAGACCAATCACAACAGACTGGGCCGTCTGACCAATCAGAGCAGAGTAGGCTGTTGGAAAGGCGGGGTTTAGAGAGACTGAATCTTCGAACGAAAAGTGTTTTTAGACTCTGTAGACTTTGAGAAATGAGGTGATGTACAATCTATATTATGAAAAAAAAACTTTCTTTTTTTGACATTGGATGCATATTGTAGGAGACCTCAAACAAAATTAGGAACCTTTAAAGGGTAACTAAACACTAAACCAACTTTTTTTAGTTAATGATCTGTAAGACTGGGGCTTTATTAATGCTGTTCATTGATTCGAGTAACTTTTTTGACATTTGGGTATAAAGTGTTTTAATTCTACAATATATGGTGTTAAAACGTCTGAGTGCTGCCCTCTTCAGGTTGAACGGTGGCTACTGCAGTTTAATTTTCCTATTGGATGTTTGCGGTAGTTCGTGACGGTAGCGGTGAGAGCTGCTGACGTAAGCAGGTTTCAGCTTACCACGCCCTTGGTACGAGCTACAACGCATAGCAGTATAAAAACCATCTTGTTTCGTCAAAACCACTGTAGCGAGTCAGGAAGTTGGAATTGCGAGTATTGAAAACGATCAGGATAGAGTATCCGTTCATCCCCTCTATCTCCGCTGGGCTCCGCCCACTTTTCCAGCATTTTTCAAATATTGCCAGTGGGTGGAGTCAGGCTCTGACCAGGGGTTTAGTTACCCTTTAAAACAGCATAATATGGCACTTTCATGTTGGGATCCTTTGGAAGGACTCTTTTATTTTACACAGAAGAAGGTTTTGCATTCTGAAAGTTACTGTATTTTCATAGTACATCAGACAGTGTTAAAAATATTCTGTTGAACTGTCATTTCTTATGATACTGCTAGAAAACGCTTTTATTCAGACACGTTTACATGGAATATTTCCGAATGTATCACCAGAATGTATTTAAATATTTAAACATTTCAACTTGACATAAGATAGAAAATCTAAAAGTTTTATGGATTGTGATAGTGACCTTGTTTGCCATGTGTATATAGCTTCAATGCTAACATGGCGTAAAAAATTTGATAAACAAACCTCAAAACATCATGAGGAATCAAATGGTCATTTATGACCACTTTAAGACTTTCAATGGTAAAATTACTATACTACGGAAAGTATAGTTGTGTTTGTTAAAGTGAACTTCTGATTGTGGACTTTACGTTAATAATTATGCATGTTTTCCTTGCCGATAACCTGATTGTGTCACTTCCTCTTGCAGTCTGGCCCGATGCAGCAACAAATGAGATCCAAAGTGCCTCACGCTAATGGACGAAACAGCTTGTTATAGCCTTTTGACCTGTGAGTATGAACACGCACACCTTCCTCTTCATACTCTCGCGTTCACTCAATTTTAACCATAGCCCCTCATCTGTTCGGCAGGTTTTTTTTTTTTTTTTTTTAAACCCCAAGCTCCTTAAAGTGTCCTCGGCAGAACCTGTCCAGCTAGCAGCACTGAACCAACTAGGAGGAGATACAGAGCAGATTTTCATCTCTCCGATTGCTGAAGCTACAAACATGGACGCCACCTCTGCAGGTTTTTTATGTTTTGGATCCTCTGGAATGTTTCAGAAGAGACATTTGTTATTAAATTTGGACCGGATTGAATGAGAGCGCCTGACAAAGAGTGTGAATGTGTGACGTGTGGATTTGAGACACTGGCTGTGCTTGCAGTGGAAGAGGAAAGGCTCTTATCGCTTTGACACAGGGGACTATTTGACTGCCTTCCCAAAGTTATAACTGGCATGTTTGTCATAGTCTGTCATTGATAAGAATGTGCGCAAATGTATGTTTGCTTTTGTTTTGTAATGGGAATACATGTGCATCTATACCTTTACAGTGTCTCCAGCTGCTTGTCATTAACAGTTGCACAAATTGTTGCTGATTAGTCTATGATAAAAAAAGCCCTTCTTGTATGTGTATAGTAGATGGATATATAATGATTCATTATTAATGAAAATATGTTTTTTTGCATTTACAAAGGCCAATATGACTGGGTTGTTACTCTAAAGAAAGCCCCCCCCCACCCCCCACAAAAAAACGAATTTAAAAATTCATTTTTCAAGTTGTTCCAACCTAACCTTTCTTTTTTGCTGTGGAATTTTTTTTTTGTGATAAATCTTCATGCACGACAACATCAACACCTAATGACACTATGACTGTTGAGAAAAAAGCCCTGTATGACCTATATTCCGAGGTTATACATTTGCTTTATGAGATGAACCGACCAAATTTATCTCATTATTCGCTAATAATAGTCACCTCAAGTGAGCTGTTAAAGGGATAGTTCACCCAAAAAACTATTTGTCATCATTTACATTCCCTCAAGTTGCACCAAACCTGTATGAGTTTCTTTCTTTTGTTGAACACAAAATATATTTTAAAGAATATAAGTAACCAAACTGTTGATGTACCCCATTGACTTCCAGTCAATGGTGCCCATCAACTGTTTGGTTACCTATATTCTTCAAAATATCTTCTTTTGTCATACAGGTTTGAAGCAACTTAAGGGTGAGGAGTCAATTTATAGAATTTTCATTTTTGGGTAAACTATCCCTTTAACCTGATAATTACCGTTTTCAGGAATAATTTGGGATCATATGGCTTTAGATGACTTGGAATATAAAGTGAGTATTACATTGGGTTTGTGCACCATATGGTTTTGTTTTTGGAGGGGAAAACCATGAAAATTCTTAAATTCATCACTGTAAAAAAAGAAGCAGCATTTGAGTTGGGAACGATGGGAGTGCGAGTCAATTTTTTCTTTTTCTTTTAGGTGGATTATTCCTGTGATCTCTATGTATTAGTAAAAGGCCATTACCTGATTATCTGAGTTGAGACTTTGAACGGCGGATTCCTGCCAATAGAGAGCCACTGGCCTTTGTCATTTAAACATCACATGTAGTCTCACTTTCACACATCAAGCTCCACCTCACACAAGCTTGAACACACCCTCTCTGTTTCCAGTCCTCACACGGCACCATGAATAAATCACTGATTTACACACACACACACTTTGAATACTTTACTCTCGACTTTGTTTTGAATACCGCTCAGTGTAGCACAATGTAGGGCTGAAATGTTAAACAAGATGTTTTTGCTTGTAATTGTGATGATTTATTTTAAATGCATTGCTTTGCAAGATCCCAGACTGTAATTTACTTTTAGTGTTTGCTGCAATTTGTTTTGGGAATGCTATAGTAAAAACTGAAAGCGCTCAGAATGTGCATGCTGCTTTAGAAATCCAATGTTTTGCTGTATTTTTAGTGTGGAGCTGCCCGGTGGTGCTCTAGAAATGCATTTCATTCTTAGAAAGTGTAGAGAAACATGCAGATTTGTGCATCTCAGCCAAAGACCTCAACAGCCCCCTTAACTTAATTATGCATGTTGCTTACGGACCTTCTCGCTTTTTGGTTTTGTCTGTGTCGTGTGACTGCTTGAAAGCCATGATGTTTGTGCAAAGCACTCATTATGCCTTTATCGTCCTTGATACTTTTCCTTTTGTTGTTCTTTCCTATTTTATTTTTTATAAATATATCTTAGGTTTAGTCCAGCTGATTGATTGTGGTCAAATGGGAGCAGTAATAGTGTTCTGTTTGGTATGGTGTCAATGCATCCTTTTGTTGTGCTTTGATATGTAACAATACAGTTGTACAAAGAGCGTGTTAAGTGTTTTTTATTGAGACACACATAACAATAATAATTCTACTGTCTAAAAGGGTTTTTTAAAAATGCTCTTTGGATAGCTTGATAGAGGTGGATTAACATTTAAGGAACTGATTTTTATTTTTTATTACTGTAAATAATTGTACCATTTTACTTTGATCTTTGCTTTGTGTCTGCATGACTTCAATAGAAAATCCAATTTTACATTGTGTCACATTTGTTCATTTGCAGCTATACTCTGCTTAGATACTTTATCACAAGTTGTATTCTTTCTATTAAACCGTAAACTTTAAACATGTCCATGGCTGCAAAAAGGTAACCATGCTCGCTTACAGTTAAACGCTCATAGCTAAAGCAATAAAATGGATTTTAACAGGATTTTCTTAATACTACACAGGCTTGTTCCTTGGGGTTTTCAAACTTAAATTTATGGGGGAAGAAATCAAAGCTGATCCCTAAAGCATGTTTTAACATCTACTGTAACTTGCATTAGTAAAGCAGCCTGTGTGAAAGATTGCGCAAAACGCCTACAAAAATCAAACAATGGACCTTTGGCACAAAGTACAGACCACATTGCATTTTAATTTCCTTTTCTAACAATGGCTTGAAAAACTGTAAAATAGGCTGTCATGGACTGATTGGTGCCGACGTTTTATTGATGAGATATTTCCCTTGCTAAACATGCCTCATTCAGAGCATTGTACCATTTTATTAAATTAAAGTGTACAAAATTGAAATTGATACCACAGATTCTTGAGAGATGGGACAAAAAAATAGTTCATTTGATCATAAGGTTTCACAGCACTCATTTCAACTCAAATAATGTTTTAGAAACTGCTTATATTTCATAGTCATGATTGGAGCTCTATCACACAAAATGGGAAAAAAAAGTTTGCGATTTTTATATTATTTGCGTCTTTTTGTTATTTGGCTATTAAAATAGAAATGAAAAGAATTTGCATGTATTGCATATTTTTTTATCATTACATTTATTTGTGGCAACAATTTAATATATGGTCTAAAAACTATTGAAAACTTTCTATAGTTCATTCATTGAAGTGAATTATTTGCTTGGAGTAATCCAAAACATGACCCTTCTACTAAACATTATTCATTGGTTTACAACATCTGGCACATAAAGCGTTACAACAGGAATCTTGTTATTTAACCTTCCAGCACTCTCTCTGTTCCTGTTTGTGATTTCAATGCATAAAGAAAAATGTTTCACCTCTCAGCTACCTCACTTCCTCTCACTGCCAGTCCCGGTTTCCTGAAAGGCGCAATAACTTTTCCATAGCGACTCTTATTTCCTCATTACAATTAATAGTGAATCACAACAGTAAATCACAGCAGGGATTTAATATAACCCTTTATTTCCTTAAATATCGTAGAAAAGACATGCATGTAGTATATGTGTGCAGTTTGAAAGCTCAGGTTGTTCAAGTGTGGCCTTGTATAAATATTTGCACATAGGAGTCTATTAAATGAAAGCACATTCAATGGGCCACTTTACAGGCAGCAGCAGCAGCTGAGAACATTTCCCTACCTTATTTCAGAAGAAAACCAAGACCGATTATATATGTAACGCGTATAAACTGAACAACGTGATTCTTCCAGCAATATTATACACTTGGTTTGTATTGTAATAGCTCTCTGATTTTGCATTAAAAGTCTGCTAGATTTGCACTGATAATATTTTACAGAATAAAAACAAGTTCAAATAAACAGAGTCAATACCATTTTCCAGAAAAGACGGAAACCTGGACACTTAGATCAAAACCGACAGTAGTTTGAAGTAAATATACAAATAATGGTTCATACCGGTTTCAAATAACATTCAATGAGATTTTGTAACCATTTAGTGCAAATATTAAAATAGAGCCATTATTTAATCTAATATTTACCCTTATTTGGGTGTTCACCACAAGTCAAAAAAAGGAAATGTTTTTATTACAATATTTTCTAAGGTTGTGTATATTTAACTTTTCACGCTTAAATATAAAAGCTTTTATGAAAGGCGTATTGTGTCGTTTTGTATAGTCTGGGAAAACACTGCATGTTTGTTTGTTTTTGTGTAACAGTTTAAATGTGATGACGTAAAGCAGGCTTTCACGTTGTTGGCGGATCTCTCCTGACCCACCTTGTGGCTTGACACAGCTGTGTCCCTCTGAAGGACAACACTGTCTTTGTGTGTTTCATCAAAGAGTCGTCTGGTAGGAAGCAGTTTTTCTGTCATTAGGGCTTTCACCCCTAAAGCTTGACCTTTAACCTCAGCCAGCTCCGAGTCCCCAGTGTGAAATCTGTACAGTATGTTCACCCCTGCTGTCTTTCCGTCAGACACCTTCACCTGCTCATCTGCTCATCATACCTGCAGAACAAAACAAATCACTCTCTTTTAATTGAATTAAAACAAAGAATTTATAAAAAGAATTTAAAAAAATTGATTTTTCTAAATTATTTATAGAGAGAAAAGTTCCTGGGGTAGCAGCTCAGGAAAATGTATCTAACTTGTATATTTATTTACTGTTGTATCTAATTTTTCAAGTATTTGAAACAATAAATAATTTAATTTATTGATACAATTTATTTATAAAATAAACATTTAATGATAATTTAAATGTAAATTATTTAGAGAGAAATGACCAGATATGATGGGGAAAGAAAAATTGTTGTTCATTATTTGAAACAATAAATAATTCAATATTTATTTATAATATACGTTCAATTATTAATTTTATAAATACATTTAAATCTAATAATTACATTTATTCATTAAAAGTGATCAATAAATATACGTTTTATGAATACATTTATCAATAAATGTCATTATGAATGAATGAAACCAGTAAAAGTGATGTTTAAGTCAAACTTGTATGATCTGCTGACCCTATTCCTCCCTCTTTTCCCCATCAGATCTGATCACATTTAAATTCACATTAAAAGTATTAATAAATATCCGAGTGAAGTATAGAATAGAACAGAATAAATATGGCAAAAATGAGGAAGTATTTTTTTTTTTTTTTTTTTAAACCACAAATACATTTATTGGAAGAATTAATTTATAAAATATTAAAAAATGTAGGTAACGCTTTACAAGGTCGCAATAATTTATGAGCAAAATATTTTTTAAGCATTTACTGATCCTTGTTAATATGTGTTAGTAAAAAAATTGTTGGTCATTGTTCATGTTAGTTCACAGTGCATTATTAAAATCAAATGTTGTATTTGTTAACATTAGTTAATGCCATTTTAATATTGTATTAGTTAATGTTGAAATTAACATTAAGATTAATAAATGCAAATAAATATTGTTCATTGTTAGCTCGTGTAAACTAATGCAGTTAATTATTGTTAACAAATGAAACATTGTAAAGTGATACCAAAATGTATTCATATATTTTTATTTATATATATATATATAGTTCAGCTGTCAAATAATGTCTGTGCACTAACGTGGTGTGTTGTGGACACTCACTCTCTGATGCAGTCTGGGATTTGCAACTGGTCCACAGGAACAAACTCTGCCAGTTCCTGCAAGCTGTGGATGAAGCGCATCTTCCTGCTAAACTTCTCACTGCAAGAGAGAGAGAAACGGTTCAGACTGAGGTCTAATAATGATCATGACATCTTGTTAGCCGACGATCTTGACCCGTTAGCCGAACGAGTGATCATCCGCGCTCACCTGATGAATGGTTTGATGACGGTGATTACCGCTCTCACGTACCAGGCCGGGTGAACCACGAAAAGCCCTTTCAAGTCTTTCCTTAACCTGCAGAGGAAAAGAAAGGAAATAAAAGAAAATGTATGTAAGACCTCACTAAATACTTTGTATTACCACATAAAACTATTTTGTTTCCAACATCTGCTTTGGTTCTCCCACTAGAGGAGCTGGTCAAATTCCCTGGATTCATGCAGAACATGAGGACACAAAGGAGCAAACGCTGAGCGCCATCAGCACCAGCACCAGCCGGACCCGTGTGAAACCACGAGAGGCAGGCCGTTGAATCATGGGACACAGGCAGAAACTTGGAGACGACAATTTGTTTTTCCACTGGTCTACTAGCCAAAAAAAAAAAATCACCCACAAATATAACCAGTTCCACTTTTGTTTTGTTTCTTACATATGTTATTTAAGTGTTAGGACTTGTAAGACATTATTTTGAATACTACAAAATACTTTATTCTAGTGCTGTCAAATTGATTAAACGCTTCTAACATAAAAGTCTTTGTTTACATAATATGTGTATAATATTTGGTTGGTCCCCCTTCAAAAAAGTGCTTTTTGTGCTTCAATGGAAGCAAGAATATCTGACCTTTTATACAAAGGAGCTGACATGGTCAATCAGATTGACTTATTGATACATATTTTCTATTCTTATTTATTGGCATTTTAGCTTTAAATGCCAGAATCTGAATCCGGTCTCAGAATTTTCGACCCCACTGTAAGTTTTCTGAAAAGCTCAGTGTTTGCACTGAAACTAGACTCAGACTAGGGGTTTCCCTTTAGTTTCCGTGGTATTCACATGGACTTCTATCAGTTATTTTTCCTCCTTGATTCTGTGAAATCATGCTTGACAGTGTTTGTTTGTGTTGTTTTCTGTTGCTGTCTGTACAGCAGCGTATGAGTGATCTCAGAGGAAACTTCATGCAATGACGCAATGGAGCCAGTAGGAATGACAAATCGGGCTTTCAAGAGCATCCCACACTCCTTAGTTCCTCATTTCCCAAACCGATCTCACATGATAAGCCATAACGACCCTGAATTTCCAGAGCATACAATTTCCTCATATTAAACATTTATAAGAATGACCTTCACCTGGGAGAGTGAAATACGGCTTTGAAATGGCTATGCCAGAATATAGAGAATTTAAACATGAATTTACAAAGGTATTTCTTCGACTGGTCAATAACCACAAAACAAACCCTTTTAGGATCTTGGCCCGATCCTGATCACCCTTGTCGAGTTTATTTTGGGATAACGACTGGCTGACTGTACAATATCCCTTACATAACCACAGTGATTTTTTTAAAATAACTTTTCCATTTGTGTGACGTCCATTGAGAACAGCTACACTTGCCATGGAGAGCCGACACAAGAGTTATAAACCTTAAGGAACTAATCCTAAATGAAACATGCAATCTAAAAATGTCTAAATATAGCAGCAAAAAAAAACATGACAGCTGAGAACAGGTCAAAGGTTATCTTAGGAATGTCTGGAAGAACCCTGATAACATGGCCCTGTATGTACGAGTCCAGAGCATTCCTATCATATTTCATATGAGGGGCATTAAGAAAGAGAGAGCAGAGGTGGGATCTCATGTTGAACAGGAACTAAACTAAAGGAAGACTACAACAGTCAGAGTTAAGACACAGACGCCCTCTTCTGGAACTGATGGAAATTTACACTGTAGTTTCAGTAGGAGTTTGGTGGCTTTCAAAAAAATACAGGAATATTGTGAAATATTATTACAATTTAAAATAACTGTTTTCTATTTAAATATATTTAAAAATGTAATTTATTCCTGTGATGCAAAGCTGAATGTTCAGCATCATTAATCCAGTCTTCAGTGTCACATGATCGTTCAGAAAGCATTCTAATAGGCTGAATTGGTGCTCAAGAAACATTTCTTATCAACAATGTTTAAAACAATTGTGTTGCTTTATATTTTCGTGCATGAATAAAACATGTATAATGTTACCAAAGATTTCTGTGATATTAATGTGTATAATCAAATATACAAGCTTAAAAATGAGTCTTTCTCTCATGGGAAAAAGAACCAAAAATATTGATTATCATCTCCTGTTCAGGGGAGTATACATAATTCTGTCCAATAAAATGAGCTTTAGAATGAGGATGTATAATACCCTAATACCAATAGCAATTTCAAGATGCTTTGTTTTGTTTTTCCAGGCTGTGTTTAAAAGACTCTCTGTTCTGCCACAACTTCCTGTTTCAAAAGCAAACATGTTCATTTCTTGATCAGAAAAACAAGGTTTCGTTTCGTAATCACAAAATTATAATGTAATAACGTTCTCCACCAGTCTTTTTTGTTAGCCAAATGAGTGGAGAAAAAAAGTATTAACCAATAATATCACTAACAGAAATGGAATCCTGATGCATAAAATCAAGTCCCTCCATACATAACTTCATACTTCATATTCTGCATTTCTTGAAAATACATCACATTGATTCATGGGCGTCAGTTTGGTTTGAAATGTGCTGGGGACAGAGACGCATTCGGAAGTGCATTTTCAAAAGTGCTGGGTACAATGACATTCATTTTTTTTTCTCTTTCGCGCAGGTCATGTTTTGAAAGACGATGTCCTGTAGCTTAGGCCTACTGATGTAAATAAATAAAAATGTATACAAAGATGTGATGATGTCCGACCAAAAATGTGATGGTTGCGGGGTTTAAATAGTAGGCTACTTTGGGTTTAATTGGTCGTACAATGAAATCTGATATGTTGTTAGTGTCATGAATTTTCACGTGAATAAACGCATATATCAGCCTAACGTACGTATGTACTGTAGTGGTCCAGTGGCAGAATTTTTGCCAAGCGTGTCGGAGGTTTTGGGTTCTAATCCGCACTCGAATAGCACTCGCACTCGAGGGGAATTTTTCCCCTCATAAAACCCGATAATGTTTATCAGTGGTTGTATATCAAGCAGGGACGCGTTTGTTTGCATTTTGTTTTGCGATTTCACCGGAACGAATAGAGAATCTCCGCAACGGATTGAAGCGCGCGTCCGAGTGAACACATTGCGGCACGTGCGCGAGCCACAACAGAACACTGTATCCGCGCCACTGATCGCAGAGGCAACGAGCACATGATCACTTGATTAAAAAAACAACACATGTTAGCGCTAGATCGCCTCTTATTTAACAAACGAACGAAACGAATGCTCTGCTAGTTAACTGGAGATGTTTTACTTGTATTGGTACATCCGTACCGCGAGATGTTTCAAAAGTGGTGGGGACAAAATCGACCCTGCCAAATAGTGGTGGGGACATGTCCCCCCCGTAAATGACGCCTATACATTGATTGCGGAAATTGCATGTCTTACGATGTCGTTTCCGGTTGTCTTTAAGTATAAAATTGTTCAACTTGATGATAAATCACAGTAACTACACAGTGACTAGCTCACCTTCTGTCAATGGACATGTAACACTGTCTGAGCCACTTCATGCCAGGCATCTTATTGCGAGGGGCCATTCCACACAGACACACCAATATGTAATTCTCAGACACCATCAAGTCCAACGTGCCAATAATGTACCTAAAGCCAAAAAATCATTAAATGTGCATTTTCCCAGAATAAACATTTAAGTTCCAAAAAATTACCATTGCTTGTAGAGAAAATTCAGACCGAATCATCATCAAGTTTTACCTGAACAGATTGTCCATCACATACTCATAATGTTCTGTTGTATTTTCTGGTAGGTAGCAGGCAGTAAAGATGATGATGGCTGTCGATCCGTCCCCATAATACCCTATAAAAGAAGGTCAATTTAGTTTGTAATTAACCATGTTCATCCCAACTTGTCCCACAAAAACTCACCTCCATGGGAGAGAACTTGGAGATACGGCTCCAGAACGCTCATGTTGACTTGGTAGTCTTGGCCGCCAATATGGAATCGTCTCCATCGCCTCCCATTGCTGTCCACCTGATCCAAGTCCAAGTGTCCCATCTCTGCGTGCTCTAGTAAACTGGCTTTTCTGATCGATGCTTTACCCATCCTAGGAAGATCGTCTGTAATGACCACAGTACTAATGGTAAACCAGTGCTCTCTGAAGATTGGCCTGTCCCATACTTCAGCATGTGATCCCAAAGGAAACAATGAACAACACAACCCTAATGAGAGTCAAAATAATTAATACCTTCCCACTCCAAGTCGTGCATGCTGTCTGGGAAGTTGCAAGACTCGCTGTCTGAGGGGGTCTCTAAGGCCTCCAGGTTAATGTCCATCTCGAGGTCATCCTCAGCAGATGGTGAAAGGGCGGAAGCGTCAAACTCATCTGATTTCATGCTCCGGTCCATAGAGGTTTTGTCCAGTGTTAAACTAAGCGCCGGGGCCACTAGTCGCTTCTTCCTCACAGTATTACCTGTCAGGGCCAGGCTGGTCGGTGGGACTAGTGGAAAGAAAGGAAAAGAGCGGTCATCCCTGGAAATGGCAAATACTACTACATTACTGTTTAAAAGTTTGAGGTCAGTCAGTAAAACTGTTAAATCAGTCAGTAAAACCGTAAACAAGTTTTGAACAGTAGTGAACAGAAGTCCAAAATAATTCAAGAGACATATTTTGGCCAGTAACTAAATGGAAAAATTAAGTTACCAGGCTTGTTTTCCTCAGCTCCAGGGCTTTCCTGTTCATCATCAGGACTCTGTGTGTCCTCAGGAAGGGGCCTACAAAGATCACATTATTTAATCCCATTTGCACTCAAGATGAACATAGAAAAGGTGCATGTACCTGTTAGTGCAGATTACCTGGGAAACTCCTCATCCTGCCATTCCTCGTTGAGCTCCATGTCGGGGATTAAGGCCGATGTCTTGACGTTTTCCAAATGTCTGCATGAATAAATTGAAAATGTAAAAGGAAGGCACAGGGGCTTCTTGGTCCATACGTTACAACTTTATTAATTATTAATCATTAAGTTCTAAGCATTACAACCTACTCCTCAATTTTGTCAAGATAAAATTCCAGGTTTGTTTGTTTTAATTACAGAAGAGGTCAGCACAAGATCAATGTATATAAAGTAATATGCAGCCACTTGGAAATGTTTGGAATTGAATTCCTGCAGTGAATGACAGAACCCGATTTAATCGTTGATGATATATAAATGCATATATTTGCATCTCATGCAATAATTTTAGCTGCAAAACAAAATATTCAACACCAAATCTGCCTCTCTCAATTCCCTAATCGCTTTATGTTAAAATATAGCATTTATTTTTTAAACATTTGATGAAATAAACCTTTCTAAAGTTATAAAAACAATTATGTTTCTAAAGCTATATAGGTTTAAAGTATGGGTCTTTAAATACCCATTTTTAAATCCCAATAACTAGATTTCACGGCTTCTTTGCTACTCAATGAAATGCAAAACCTGCCTTTTAACAGCATACAGCATATTAAAAATAATAATGATAAAAACCCTCAGTGTATTCATATCCAATGTCTAGCTGTTCATAAAGTTTTGAAATCTGGACTCATTTTGTCCTGGCTTTGAATAACTCTGACATGATTGTTGTCAATGATCAATTGATAGTTCACCCAAAATTGTCTGAAAAATTATGTCATTATTTACTTACCCCTTAAAGTTGTTCCAAACCTGAATTTCCTGAACAAATGAATTTCTTTCTTCTGCTGAACACAAAAGAAGATATTTTGAAGAATATGGGTTAGAGTTGATGAGCCCCATTGACTTACATAGTATTTTATGGAAGTCAATGGGGCCCATCAACTGTTAAGTTACAGACATTCTTCAAAATATCTTCTTTTGTGTTCAGCAGAAGAAATAACACTTATAACACTAATAACACAGTAAATGATGACAGAATGTCAATTTTTAGGTGAACTATCCCTTTAAGAGCAGAAGTGACGATTTTTTTTTTGGGGAAACATTTTTGGACAGACAGACAGACGAACGGACACAGATGTAAAACTGTAGTGAGCATTTAATCGTGTTGGATCAAAACAGCACGTAATAACAGGGCAGTGTACACTTGAAACCTCGTTAACGCCCATCACATCGCTCTTTATGGACATTTGTAAATAATGACAATGTAAACATGCTCAACTCACCTTTTCAACAACCACGTAGATGCGTATCAAAAGCAAATCCCTTCTTTATTTGACAAAAAAACAAGTATTGCCTAAAAACATTACAAGTGCTATATGTAAGGGATGTATTATAGGATACTGATGTAAAACTTCGCTATTTACCTTTACTTTACAACGACAAGGGCGATTTTCTACCCACCTAAAGCAAGCACATTCATGTCAAACTCAGAATCAGCCAATCAGAGGGCGTCACACCTGATGACGCAGCCTCCGCACCTGAGAGAGCTGTTAAACGCCCCTCCCACAAATCTACAGCTGTACACCCAGACATCATACCTGTGGCTGTTGAGATCCACAGTACTCTAATAGGTCAAAATAAATAAATAAATAAATTGCACTACAACAAAGTTCTGCTAATAAAGAAATAGGACTAAATATAATAGAATTAAAAGCTTGAAACAAAACTTTGCCCTAGTTGCCCTTAGGTTTTTTCTTTTTTGTGTGTAAAGCAACATTTATAAAATGTGGCAAAATCAGTCCTCATCCTTGGCTGCATTTAATACATGTGTGATTATTTTGTCAACACTGAAAAATGTGACGCTGATGATGGTTTGAGACCATCATGTCAAGACTTTATTTACTAAAGTGAATGCAAGATTTCTCAATATTTAAAATAAATATTTGACATTCATTTTTGTGTCTGACAATGTTATTTAGAGGTTATCCGTGAAATATATATAGAACAATTTTGTAAGACAATGGAAGTAGCAGGAGATGCGCCATATGAATACCTCTAAACTGATCAGATTCATCCCAAATATATACTATATCTTCATATTTAAATATTTTATATTCATATCTTTTTTTTCTGGTTCTACATATACTATCCAAATACTAGGCCTATATACTGAAAATAGCAGTAGGCTACCATTGTGTCAACCTTGTCAGATTTGAACTGAAATATAAAACTCGTTCCTGTTTTTACCTCAAGTATTTCTTTACGTCACACATGTGGTAATTACACGTGGCATTAATGACCAGAAAATCTAGTTTTGTTTTCAGCTGATTCCAGGCAGTCGATGAGCCGGTGTGCTCCTGTTGTCAGCAACATAAGAGCTTCTGCTGTAACTGAACCGGTTTCTGATAGCCACTAACACCAAATTCATTCAGATCTTGATGAAACCTGCAATCTGTATACATACACTATTGTCCAGCAAGATTGCTCAGAGATTATGTATATTTCAAACATTACCTGCTCTAACATAATAGGCTGTATGCTTTTAGTTAACAACTGCCTCACTGTGTTGTGTGTAATCTCATGTCCAGTGTTGTCCTAACTGAGGCATTATCATATAATACTGTTTCAGCAATTGTTCTTGATGTAACTCTTACAAGATTTAGTCAAGTAATCGCCTGTTGTGAAAACCTTTTTGTCCTGGCTTGTAAGATGCTTTAGCAACTCATTCTGGTATTTACTGTATTAAGGATACAGGCATTATTAGATTTAGTCATATCACATAAACACTGAGGGCTTTTATGACACTAAGTTTCATGCATTCTCGTCTTGTCCGGACATGAACATGGAATTCCCGTATGGAAATTAACAAGTCAAAAGACCTATTCTGTGAATTACAGAAACATTATTATGGCATAAAAGCTTTCATATCATCTCCATTTTACACTCTGAAAATGAGTGTTTTTTTGAAGTGGTGCCAATGAAAATCAATCATTATAGATTGTAGTAAAAGTATTCTCTGATAAAATATTACAACACCTTACTAAACTAAATTTTTTGAAGTTTTTCCATTTATATTTGCATTTTTAACTCATAACAGCAGCGAAACCCTTGTTATTATGTGTAAATGTCAGAAAATCTGATGATCCGTCAGGTGACAGGATATAAGAGGTGATGTCTTTCTGTGTGGTTGTTAGGTCTCAAATATTAGTCAAGAAGTTTGGCAAAAGTGCCGGAAATCAGTTCAACTGCAACTTCCTTTTTCTAAATAAACAGATACAGAAGTTGTACAAGGATTTCTCTCGTGTCTTACTACTGTCCACTTCACAGCGCAAACAGAACAACCAACAACTCGTAAATTCATCTCTGGTTTATCCAGTATGTGCTTATGACTTCTTCTGATACTTGTTTTGATCTTATAAATGTGTTTGACCATGTAATTGAAACCTTGAGAGGCCATGTTATCATTATATTGTGTACAAATCCATTACTTCAATAATGTTACTTCAGTATTTAGGGACAGATTTGACAACAGGCAATCTAAATTTTGACTTACCCATTTTGCAGGTATCCTTCCTTCTGGTCTGAGTAAGTCCCCATGTCTAAAGTCTTTAAAAGAAAGTGTCTAGATTAGAAATGCATTCAGTGAACTCAGTTGATGACCATGACCTGAGGTGGTTTATGAGCTTCGCCACAATGGCAGCCAGTTTCAGTGACTGTATCTTGTGTCTTGTGTTAGGGAACTCACCCTGACTGTCAGTACAGGTTTTTCAACATTTCTGACTTCTGCTGACTGAATTGTCTGTCTCCCATTGGTTCAGCTGCTTTGAGCACTTCTGCTCCCCCACAGGGAAGGCTGGGAAGGTGGAGGAAGAAGCCACAAAAAGGCAAAACTTCATGGTCCTAATACCCTTGAAGTTACAGGCCTCTCCAAAGGAAAACTGTCTACATATCATTTGATTATTATATTATTAGGTACATACACTACTTTTCAAAAGTTTGGGGTCAGTAAGATCTTTGTTTTTGAAAAAGATTAAGGCTTTTATTCAGGAAGGGTGGATAGTAAAGTAAAGACAATTACATTGTTACAAAAACATTCTGTTTTAAATAAATTCTGTTCTTCAGAGCTTTCTAATCGTCAAAGAATCCTGAAAAAAGTATCACGTTTTTCCACAAAAATATTACACGTTTAAAAATAAATGTTACTCTGAAGGATCATGTGACTGAAGATTGGAGTAATAGCTGCTGAAAATTCAGCTTTGCCATCACAGGAATAAATTGCACTTTAAAATAAAATTGAAAGTAGAAAATTATATTGTAATCAATATTCTGTTTTTACTCTATTTGCGATCAAATAAATGCAGCCTTGGTGACAATAAAAATAAGATTGTAATGTAACTGTACCTTTTTATAGATAAACCTTACAAACCAAATATTAGACAATATGAAAATGTTTTATTGATATCGAGTCCAGGAATACTTGAAATAAAAAAAGGCCATGGCAATAAAATACTTCACAGAGGATGCGTTCTTGAATATCCCGCTTCACAACCATAGCACATTAATAAATTGACATTGAATCAACAATTAATACAACACTATTATGATATTGGCATTATTCAGTGTGCTTAATTCTCCTGAGGCAGCATGCAGTAATCTTCTGCTGTCACCATGTCAAATCTCACCAAACTAACAGTCAGGGTAAATTCACACGGGATACATCTCAAAATACTAACAAACCATCTATGTTTCAAGTCCCATATTAACTGATTATTTTGTTTAACGGTTAATTTTGTGTGTGAAATCATGACTAAACTAGTACTTTTACTTCTATGAACAAAAAACATTTATATAACTGTCCAATTAAACGTGTCATATAAAATTAATCAAATTAGGCCTTTGAAATACCTTAGATTGAGATTTTGTATTTACTAATATAATGAATATCATTAAAATGATAGTCCAGTATGAAGCGATCTTTAGATTATGATAATGAATGCCAGATGGTGAGTGATCTCTAATAACTGCTAATAAAGCTGAAGGCCATATAACAAATCAAAAGGACAGTTCATGATAACAACCCTTTTTTAACCCTACTTTTAAAACCTAAATCATCAAATAAATTATATAATATAGCACAATAGAAATCAACAAAATACTGAACTTATACACTTTAAAACTCGAGTGATCAAATGCTTAACATGCCTCACACACAATACAACTGAGGTCTTTGGTAGTTAATGGTAAAATTTAATAGAGGAAAATGCAGGTGCCCTGATTCTAACCAGGAGCAGGTCAGTTAACACCTATAACATGCAAAAGGCCACAGAGGGGTTACACTCACTTTCCATTTACCAACAATCACACTTTTACGATATTAATGGGGAATCATGACAAGATGTACTAATCCGATGCATCTTCATTTACATCCGCTCTGCGTGAGATCAAATGAAAAGTGTTACCATCAATTTAAGATCTATCATTTTGACTCATCCTAACAGGAACTGCTTGTTTATGCTTATATACGCACACTGGAAGCCTAGCAGACAGGACTGTGAAAATATTTATTTATAATACACGTATATTATATATTTGTATGTATGTGTATATGCAACTAACTTTCAAAATTTAACACAAATTATGGCCAGCTAAAAAGTAAACCAGTGCATATCAGATTAAAACTTATCTTGCCTGCTAGGCTAACACTGTACGAGTACTGTAAATGCCTTTTCCACTCACTTTTAAAAATCAAGGAACAAGTCAAAATAATTTGAATGCGGGTATCAATGCCATGCTACAAATGTGGTCTGCAGACAAGCTAAAAATAACTTCTTTAATACTATAAAGAATGTAAGTGGCACCAAAAGCTATGATAAATACCACCTTATGATTACTTGTATAATAATGGAAATGAATTCAGAATTAGTTAATTCTATCAATTGTCAGTCGCTAGCTTGCACTGGGTGCATATTGTCAATATTAGATCTGAATAAGTTCACGTTTACCTGGAAATAGATTGGACCACACACCAAAAAAAAAAAGAAAAAGGTGTGGGGGAGTCAAAGCCACAAATTACTCAATCAAAGAGTAATTTAGAAGATCAAATATGAAAACTACTGAGACCAATAAATAAATGGGCTAAACCTGATATTTTAGTCATTTTTATGACACCCAAACTTTAAACATCTTATATATGATGCATTTATGTAATTCTCCATTTGAAACATCCTGTACCAGTCCTTAGAAAGTCAACAGAATGGTCTCTTCAGACCGTATCGTACCTTTGTGAGTTAACCAGATCAAAAAAGTGCCATTACATTCTCCTGCCCTGATGCACCACCACCGCATCCTCTTGAAGACGCAGAGGGACTTCACTTCTCCAGCTCCTATCCAAGACTCTCTTGGACAACAGGTCTTCATCATTGTCCCTCAGGAGACGAGTCCTCCATGCTGGCCATCTTGCTAACTTTCTCCACCAAAACCTCGGGGCTGAGTTTTGGTAGGCCATTGTCCAATGGACAACCCTCAACCAGACTGTTCATTGGCGTTGGAGGAAATTGAGTGTCATCCTCAATCCCAGCATCCTCAGGACATTGCTGTGAGTCACTCTGGTCCTGATAAGAATAATCGTCCAGATCTAGGTCTTCGATGTTCCCACATTGAGCCACTTTCCTTTCCCTCTCCTTCAGGAAGTCTGTGATTATGGGCATTACTTTCTTACGGGACGCCAGTGTGTTACCCTGCATATAGGCCTTCACGTCCGGATATGGACTGATCATTGGCTTAAGGTCCAGACTGGGGTTTTTGGCTTTTTCTAGTGCTTTACTCATCTATGAAAAACAATATATATATAGATATCAATTAGAACAGATTCTCAACTTATTTTATACACTACATTTCAAAAGTTTGGGGTCGGTAAGATTTTGTAATGCTTTTAAAGGAAGGCTGCAATTTAGAATAACTGTTTTCTATTTTAACATATTTAAAAATGTAATTTATTCCTGTGATGGCAAAGCTTTTCAGCATCATTACTCCAGTCTACGGTGTCACGTGATCCTTCAGAAATCATTCTAATATGCTGACTTGGTGCTCAAGAAACTTTTCTCCTTATTATCAATGGTGAAGACAGTTGTGCTGCTTAATTTTATTTTTTGTGGCAAACATAATTTTCTTCAGGATTCTTTGATAAATAGAAAGACTTTGATGAATTTATTAAAGACGTCTGTAGGCCAATTTCCCTAATAAGTGTAAAGTGTACTGAGTACCTCTTCTCTGTAGACAGTGCTGGAACTGTAGACGGCTAGCTGTCGGAAGGGCTCCTTGTTGTCGTTGAAAAAGATTGTCATTGCGACCAGCAGGTTGTAGCTGTGTTTGTGGCAGAACTCACAGAGGTCCTGCTGTAGGCCATGCCTCTGAAGAAAAGCCTAAAGACAGAACAGCTCTTTTAACATATGAGCATTACATTCACAAACTGATCTGGAGATACACATTTATCAACGACCAATATTGTTCTTCTGCCGTTTAGAGTTTTGACTCCTTTGAATTCCAACATACATTATTTTTTCTGCTGTTAGTAAAATTTTATTATGATTGTATGGTATTTTAAAGAACTAATTTATGACTGAAAAATATAATTTTTAAAATATGCATGTCAAACATGATTTCTTATAACACATCTCTGATTCTTGTCAATCAATTGGACGAATGTTTCTGACAGGTAAAATAATAAAGTAATAAACATTACATTGATGGAATTATTACTTTGAAGTAATAAAGTAAGATTCTGTGGGTAATGTTTATTTTACAAGTGTCATAATTTACATACTGGGGCCGATTTGAAATCTATAACTTTCTTATGCCATGTTAAAAAAAATCTACAATGGTCCCCAGTCTCCTGTACTATGAACAAAGTTTTGATACACATCAGATTCAGCAACATTCGGTCTTATTATTGTATGTGTACTAACAAGAGGACATGAGAGTCTGTCACGGAGGTTAACGTCTGGTGTAATCAGTGGGTGTGTGTGCGAGACGGGCCGCCCAGCCCTGCGGTGAGTCTGGGTGTGTCTGAATTGGATTTGGTTGTGCTTCAGTATTAATGAGGAATTCATGTCATGAGTCATGAGGATGGGCACATGAGCACATTTTGTGCCCACAACAAGAGCTTCTTACTTTTCCAAATCAACATTTCCTCTTTGTGGAACCAAGTACTGAGGCTAAATGCATAGCACAAACACAAGATTCACTTCATTCAAGTAGAAACATGTCATTTGTATGAGATCTTCTAAATTTAAAGTCCTGCCAGAGTGTTTCAGAAATGCTGCAATTATGCAATGAGATTCCATACATAACTTAAAGGTTATAGAGATTATAGAGATGCACCAATACAATCACCAATATTTCATTATTGATCAAAATATAAGCTATTGCAATTAGCCACAAGCATGAAACAGCAGATCTTTTGTTTTTGGCCATGAATAAAATGTCACTGTTTACTTGCGCTATAAGTATTATTAAATATCAAGATGAAATCCAAAGATATTTTTAAGAAAACAAGAATACATCCTCCAGGTGCAGCAAACAATTAGTATTATTTTTTTTATTTAGAGTTTGACAAGGCAGGATATTGAAGAACAAAACCATGAAATGTATCAAACATAACATACTCAAGACAACCTTATGTCCCTAATTTAAAACTAATAAAAAATAAATAAATAAAAAAACAAAAAAAAACGGTGGAGTAAAACAGATACACAGAAAACCTAAAATACATCAGGTTTCATACAATAAAACATATAAGTTATTTATAAAACAATTTAAAGGATTAGTTCACACCTCAAAATGAAAATTTCCTGATAATTTACTCACCCAAATGCCATCCAAGATTTTCATGTCTTTCTTTCTTCAGTGGAAAAGAAATTATGTTTTTTGATGAAAACATTTCAGGATTTTTCTCCACACAATGGACTTCAACGGTCGCCAAATTGTTGAAGTCCAAATCAATGCAGTTTCAAAGGGCTTTGAATTGCTTCAAAGGGCTCTGCACGATCCCAGCCGAGGAATAGGGTCTTATCTAGCGAAACGATCGGTCATTTTCTAAAAAAAATAATTTAAAAAATTGATATACTTTTAACCATAATTGGTCGTCTTGTGCTGGTCTGCGATGCGCAATCACGTTGGAAAAGGTCACGCTGGACGTAGGCGGAAGTACCGCCCCCGGAAGTATATTGTGTGGAGAAAAATCCTGAAATGTTTTCCTCAAAAAAATTCATTTCTTTTCCACTGAAGAAAGAAAGACATGAACATCTTGGATGGCATTGGGGTGAGTAAATTATCAGGAAATTTTCATTTTGAGGTGAACTAATCCTTTAAGAGCACGTGGAATAAAAGAAAGTTCATGTCTTTTTGTTTTACTCCTGGGCACAACAAATTCCCTGCGCTGCCGTAGTAGATAAGTAGGTGTTGGAGCCACAGACAGGAAACAATGCAGTGGTGATGAACTGTCCTTGAGTAGTTTAGTAAAAGTACGTATAGTGGCCTCGTCGCGCCTCTCACTCAGTGATGGGAGGGTGGAAGTTGGAACACAACGTTTTTGGACCCTCTCTAACTCATCAGAGACCTTTAGGTAGTCCACCCCATGCTGGGCTAGCGTACTAGGCCGTATAAAAGTCAAATATACTTTCATTAGAACATCACAATGGAGACCTGCGTTTTTTGCAACACAGAGAGACTGGATTCTAGGACGCACCTTCAAAATCATGTACTTAATGTGGGCGTCCCACGACAAATCAGAAGAAATTTGAAAATTTCCAACTCCAACAATTGTTACGTATTGAATCTCATTTAATAGAGAATAAAATAGACTAAGCTTCCTGAGAGTAATTTGTAATGTTCCATCATAACTTCTTTGTAGGGGTGTAATTAAATCCTTTAAAACATCATTCAAATACAAAACAGCAATTTGATGACATAATTTCAAGATATATGCAAAGAAAGTGGCAAAATATCAGAATCTGAATCTATCTACATAGATACCTGTATAAATATCAGTTTTTGTTAAAAGCTGTATCAACCAAAAACGTCCAAATCACCATAGCAAGATTGTAGAAGCTTTTAGAGGTCAAGTGAAAGATGTCATAACAGTACTGACCTCTAGTGTCATGTAAATTACACTGACAGCCAAGTTCAGATCCCCAGTGGTTGCAGCTTTCATGTCTTTCAACAGCATCTGCTCCGTGGAGAGGCCTGAAGTACAGAGCAGTATTGCAAAATTTGTTTTCATGAACACATGCTTTAAAGTTTTAATGAGTCTACAAGCAGTTTGATTCATTAACCAACACAATAAAAGATTCTCTCACCTGACACGTCAAACTTGGCATTCTGTAGCGACTGAAACAGAGCGCCCCTCGGAGGCAGCTTTGGAAAACGCTTCTCCAAAAAGATGGCGTACTGGCTGTCCTTAGGGGTGACTTTACCTGCCTCAGGGGCCATGTTAACACAGTCTAGGATAATGCTACCTATCAACACAAGGCAGAAATAGATTCTGCAAGTTAACAAGATTTTATCTTTCTGCTGACATCTTATATCTCTATCATATTGCATGTACAAGTCGAATCTATCTGCTCCAGCTAAATGCCACTGAAGACCATGCTGAGCCCATCTGATGTCTAACAGTGTCTAGCAGATTGAACAGCAGTCATGCTGACATTCCACGCTGTGTTTATCATGTCGCCATGACACTCACCGTATAAAAGCTGAGCCACTTGTTGGTCGAGTACCTCAGGTGCTTTTTGGGCAATGAGTTCTGTCACCAAGGTGGCACAGGAGCCCACGGTCACCACGGTGACGGGGCAGGAGGGAGATGAGGGCCTCTGTAGGAGATGATGGTCAATCACTTCTACAACTGCATCCTCCAGCTCACTGTCAGCACTACAGAATAAAACAGATGTATTATAAAAGAACAGACAGACCTAAATCATTTCAGAACTTGGTTGGCATTTGTGGTAGATATAAATAAATAACCATTATTGTAACAATATTCTGATATTGCCATTTATTTACATACAATTAGCCATATATTTGTGGTTATTATGATTATTATAGTACATATATATATATATATATATATATATATATATATATCCATATATACGATTTTACCGTATGCTCACCAAGGCTGCATTTGTTAGATAACTAATACAGTAAAATAATTATATTGTGAGAAATTATAATACTTTCAAAACTATTTTCAATTGCATTTTTTTTTATCTTACTGACCACAAACTTTTGAACAGTATATATATTAAAATGAAAATTCACTATATAGTTCAAGTTCATTAATTAGTTCAAATTTGACTCCTTGCTTTTTGCTTTTTTTATGTGATTGTGAAGATGGAAGATGAAACATGGTCCAATACATGTATTGAATTGAACAGAACAGAACACTGACCTGGGCAGAACATTATGGTCAACCAGGGTCAGGGTTAGCTGTTTGTTCTTGTGCAGGCCGTGGAGGTCCACCTCGTCCCTGAAAAGCAGGTAGTCCTGCGACAGACCGGTTTCTCTCAGCAGAAAGATGCTGTCAGAGCGCAAGGGAAACTCAGCCCGTGGGATGTTGAGTACAGGCACCGGTACACTCTTACAATCAAGACTCTACAACAGGTCAACAATAATGATGAACAAAACAACAATAATCCTCAACCTCCAGTACAGAATTATCACGTCTAGTATCTCCACCACAATTTAAAGCTTTACAAGAACAACACAGCAAATATGGTTGGTTTATTAGGTTGGACATTGCATACCTTTGAAAGAAAGTAGGCGAAGGTCAGGGCTGATACCATGGAGTCCATATCACAAGCCTCATTTCCCATTACGACATGCAGCCCTGGGCTGTTCTTACTACAACCCTAAGAATGAAGGAGAATAATGTCACAGGCTATTGGACAAATATAGGACAAGAATTCATTACGTATAACTGCAAGCCTAGTTCTTCATAACAAGGCTTTGGTGGCCTCTATTAAACTGCAGGCTGAAATACAAAACTAAAATGTCTGTGTTTTTGTGATATTCCCTACTGTCTATGCACACATATTTACAGCAAGTAAACTACATGACAAGCTGAAAATGTATCCAATAGGCCTTCATCTGACAAACAATGTTTAACTTATAATCAACCAGTCACTCTATATCACTGACAGCCAGTGTGAGGAGTGGTACAATGTGTCAAAGATAAAACACATCCCGAGGCTTCTCAACAAACAATAGTCCAGCAGTGTGTTCCTTAACAGATGATAACATGGATGACAACAAAACAGATTTTCTTTTATGTTCAATATTTGTTCTTAAAGTCGTTCTTATAGTACACCCAAAAATGACAATTCTAACATACTCAACTTCTTGTGTTCGAAACATGAATGACTTTCTTTTATCCATGGAACATAAAAGGAGATGTCGACTGCTTTTTTTACATATAATAAAAGCATTTAGTGATGGGGTCTGTTAGATTGAATGTTTAAAAAAAAAAAAGTTTCTTATGCTCACTAAGGCTGCATTTATTTATTAATTAATTATATTATACATTTATATGAAAATACAGAAAAAAACCTATAAAATCGTGAAGTATTATTACAATTCAAAATAACGGTTTTGTATTTTAATATATTTTAAAATATACAAAAAACACCTACTTGACCTACTTATTTGGTCTTTTTTCCCCACGCACCAATCACCTGCAGGTGTGTGATGGTGTTTGCCAATTAATATATTTTAAAATATAAGTTATTTCTGTGATGCAAAGCTGAATTTTCAGCATCATTACTCCACTCTTCAATGTCTCATCATGTGCTGATTTCGTGCACAAGAAAAAAAATCTTATTATAATCATGTTGAAAACAGTTGTGCTGCTTAATATTTTTAGGGAAACCAAACTTTGTAATACTTATTTTTCAAGATTTTTTGAGGAATAGAAAGTAAAAAAAAAAAAGAAGCATTTTTTGCATCCTTGCTAAACAAAAGGATTACTTTCTAAAATAAAAAATACTGACCCCACAATTTTGAACAATAGTGTAGTTATGGACTAGATTTATGTGACTTAAAATATGCTTTCTTTTTTGGAGCTTGAGAACCCACAACTCTATATCAAAGACAATTTGCTGGACCACTTGTGAGATGAAGAGCACTTTTAATAGAATAACATTGACTGCATCACCCAGGATTTAACAAAGCCTTTTATATCTCCCCATGATGAATCCTCGTCCAGCGTTAATTAGCATTTGGCCTTCTCCGTTACTCCAGCCGAATACAGAAGGCATCTGTGACGTCAGCATTAAATGATGTACTCTGATATGGGCAACCAGCTGGGGTTTGTTTTAAATACTGAATGATGGACTGTCAACACAGACTGACTGAGCTCACAGCTGGCACAGACCAGGGGTGAGGCTTGTTTAGGGTGAACTTTTGGCAAGCTCCCTCTTCTCATGTGATAATCATCACCAAAAACCTTGATAGATGGGGAAGTGCAGGAAAAAAAAGGCTTATTCATGCCCATATGTGCATGGCCGGTGGGACAGCACAGGAAGTTAGTCACCGCAATGTGAAATGGACCACGGGATGGTGAGTAAACAGTACAGAACCTGTGGGTCTTGGGTCAGTGTGGAAAGAACTCTAGTGTGCACTCTCTATTTACAACCTCATGCTTCAATGAAGACAAAAAGCACTTTAACCACAAGTGCAACCATATCATTTTTTCAATCATTGACTAAATTAGTTAAAGAACCCATTTCTGCTTGCTTCCTTGAGCTGAGTCTCAAAGTAAACACACAGGACTTCATAATATCTGCCTAGCAGTTGGTGAGCGCAGGTGTCAGGGTGTTTGGGTTTAAAACAACAGTTTAGGGTATAAAGATGCACTGCTGTTGGACAATGGACACTCACAGCAGGTGTTATTGTCTCTACAAATAGGGCCACCTTCAGTCTTGAAACTGAGCACATTAAGCTGTAAAACTAGAAAAGTGGGAATTGTTCTTATTGACTAAACACACTGCCAGAAAATAGTAAACATATTCTAGATTTGCACCAAACAGCTGAACAAACTGACCTTTTTAAACTGCTAAGCATGGCAAAACTGTGTGTGTGTATATATATATGTGTGTGTGTGTCATTGCCTATTACATGAAATGGTGATATAAAAACACAACAGTTAACTCTTTTTGTATAAAAATTATTATAATAAAACTTGTTATTACTGTTGTGTAACAAATGTAAACAAACAAACTTATGTGCTTTCCCTTTCTCTCAATGCATGCGATGTGGTCGTTTCTTTCATTTGCGCATGCGGCCAGGGTCTGTGCACGCGCGTCAATATGTCAATATCATATTATGTCAATATCAAGTGTACTACATCAAACAAAGCATACATTATTTTTCACACTAAGCTATCATATACGGCAAACACGCATGTTTATGAATGTCTCTACATACAGAAAGTGCATGAACTGGCCACTGGCCATATTTTAAGTGGGTAAAATGGTAACGTAAGTAGCCAAGCCAACCTACCACGAGCAACCCTCTCTCTAAGCGTACAGTACCATAATCTTACCTTAATCACATCACGACAGCTCCGTAAATATGCCTCCATTGTTACACGGAGCCCGAAGGTTTTTATGTAACGAAAAATCCTAAAGGAGTATAAAATGCCCTTCAGTGCCTCTGAAATGTGAAGTGTCTCGGCGGTTGACTGTGTGCAAGTTGCCACTCGGAATTCAGATGTTTGCGAGAGCAAGGGGGACGTTACGTGGTCTCCTCGAGTTACGTCCTGACGTCACATGTGCTGAAAAATGTAGTTCTGCGGAATTACAAAAGATGAGCGAGTTTGTAGTTTTTAGTCCATGTGTGTTACCTTTAATATACGTCAGTGTATTACTTAAAAGTTGACAAAATTGCTTTAATCACTTTTGAAAACCAAAAATATTTATCATTGAGGATTCATCCTGCACTAAACAGATTTTTGTACAATCAAATGCTTAGAATAATAAGTCCCTCGCTCTAATTACACCTGCAACTGACTAGCAAGTAAGTTAGCACATTATGGCTCACTCTGTGATGTAAGCAAAAAGCAAAATACATAAATAAAAAATTTAAGCAAAAATTAAAAAGCAAAATACATAATAAAATTAAAAAATAAAAAGGCAACAAACCCTTTAATATGTCCCACTCCATCTTTCCGCTTCATTAGTAATTTTGTTTATAACGGGAAAAAAATTGCGTTTGTCAAATAAACTAACAGGCCTTTAAAACAATTGTCAATATGCTTATAATGGAAAAATGTAACAAAAAAGTGTTCCATTTTATTTTCGTTCTAGGAGTATCTGAAAACAGCTTTTCTGATTTTATACAATTGGACAATATCTGTAAAAAAGTAGCATTTGGATCTTTAAAAATACAACTTCAGTAAAATACAGTACATTAAAATATTGATTTATCCATTCTATTCTCCAAAAACACATTTAAAAACCTATAGTGAAACAAAGTTATAGTTGTTCTGCAACATTTATGTCTAATATTACTTTCTATAAAAAATTAATCACATAAAAGTTCATCGGGGTATAAAGAAGGATCCTACTGAATATTAACACATTGTTAGAGTGGCACCTTTTGCAGTAAACATCTATGCACTTGGGGATATGACTTGGCACCAAGCTGCTTTGATTTAATGCTGATGCTTTGTTCCTCTTGATCTAATTTCTGTAATTAATCACATTTTGTCCAATAGCATGCCAGTTTAAATCTTCTCAACATAGTTGCCAGGAAACATGCCTTCCTTTCCTCGAAGACGGCCATTCCACCAACCTGAGGGGTCTGGAAAGACAGCACATCTTGGGTTAGTGCAGAAATCACTTACCCAATATACCCTGTATAAAGTTCACTTTTAAATGGTATAAAAATAGATTACCTTCACGTAGGAGTTCTATGATTTCATCTGCTTGAAAGCTGAGCTCATCAGTGTCTTGAGCATCATAAGCGTAAAGTGCTCTGCATTGTGGGGTGCGGGGTTTGGGTTTGGGTTTGGGTAGCCCTGACCCTGGGATAGGCTTGTACTCTTTCGAACGTCTGCGTTGCATCCTGAGAGAAAAGAGCGATTATCTTCTTTGAAAAACTGAAATAACCAAAACACTAATAATTGGAATTAAAAAAAAAACTAACTGGTAAAATCTGAAACTAAACTAAAATACATTTATATGAGTCCAAAACTAACTAAAAAAATATAAAAATATATAATATATGTAAAAAAAAATTTTTTTTAGTTTAACCCTTTAGCTGTCACCCCCCTTTTTGAGAATGGGGGTTAAAATGCACTATTCAAACTTAAATGGTTGTAATTCAAGAATGCTTTGGAATATATACCCAAGTTTGGTCTTGTTTTAAAGACAACACTCAGCAGATTATTGCTGAAGTGAAAACACTTAAAAAAATGAAAGTATGAAAAAGTTATGGAAGTTTAAATTTACAGTAAATCAAATATACTGTACTATATATCTTATATAAAATATATATTTTACAAAATATTTTTTACTCTAAAATTACTATAAAATCAAAGCCATATATCTAACCAAGTTATGTTCCAAATTTGAAGTTGATATCACAAAAATTGAAGTTCCCATGAGATTTTGTTTAGGCGTAGTACCAAAAATAGCCACCGGGTGCCATTGAATTTAGTTGTATATATTCTGCCTTCACAAATTAATAATTTCCTGTCCAAACATCAATTCTGTCACAAAATTTTGGAACCTTGAGACACAGACCTTTCTGACAATATGTGTTTTGTCAAGATTAGAAAAGGTTTTGATCATAAATTATGAAATATAATGATGCCCAAAAGGGGAGGAGCCTGATAAAATAATTTAGAGTACCGTTTCTATGGTAACGCAACGTTCAATTATAAAACGGTTTTCACAGGATGAATTCTGAGTTTGTAAGCTTTCAAATGATACCTAATTTATGATAACTACTAAAATATGTGATATAATAAAAAAAGGCGATAAAAAAAGATATTATATTTTAGAGGATAATATATATATATATATATAATAATTTTTAGAGGATAATATTATATTATAATTTTTTTATTGAAAAATACAAGATTATATGTTTTATTATGAACTTTTAGCATGAAAACCCAAAGTTTCAATTATTAAATGTGTGTGCGTCAACTTTTTGTGACAAAGGTCAGAACTCCTGTTATGGTGCAAATTTTTTTGAGGCGCACTCTTGTCAAAAAATCATCGGTTACTCTTCTTCCATAATTTGTAGCAAAAAACAGCAGTCAAATATCTATTTAGCAGACTTAGACCTTTCCAACGATATATAGTTTGTCATGACTAGATTAGGATTTAATAGTAATATAGTGAAGTAAATTTAGATTGCCCGTATATGGGCAGGTGACAGTTATCTCTAAAAAAACTAAACTAAAATTGAAAAAATATATATATAATTAACCTGTGACAGAATTTATTTCCCCCAAAATGTTTGAGTTACTATTATTAACTTAATTGTGTCATATACATAATTGCCTGTCATGTACTGATCTGTGAAAACTAGTTCCAGCTGAATAGGTTTTCCGATTGTTAAGTCTTCAGTTAGTATGGCTTGGAGGATAAAATACTGATGATTGCTTTTATTGGAGCTTCCTGCTGTCATATGATCCATCATCTCACCCTGCCACGCCTTGATCAGGAACTTTCATGAAGCCCATATCGTTGTGTATCTGACTCTCGAGCTGACTGCGACGAGATCCCTGGAGTCGGGGAAGGGTGGGCTGATCCATACTGGACTGCTGACGGAGCAGAGAGTTCCTAATGGCGGGCTGCCCTTGAGTTCCTCTTCCTCGACCAACAGACTTGGGAGCCTCTGAAATTACAAGCCATTAAAACATTTTAAAACCATTTCTAAAATAGTTTAGTAGCGATTTTAGTGAAATATGTAAAACTGTGGTCTTACCACGTGAATACTGGCCTACATTGCGATTCTGGTTCCCCATGTGCCTGCTCTTTCGGTTGTCACGCCGAGTGGGTCCTGTAGAATTGGTAAATATGTTACAAAAAACATTTATCACAGCTTCCACCAAAATATTCTTAAAATATATCTTTTTTTAAAAACAGTTACTTTAAATTGTAATAATATTTCACATAATCACTGTTTTACTGTATTTATGATCTAGTAAAATGTAGCCTTGGTGAGCATAAGATACTTATTTCACAAACATTACAAAATCATACAACCCCCCCCAAAAAAATTCTTTAAAAAACAAAAACAATATTTCTTTACAATCTCAAAATGGTCTGCAAAATGGTTGTCAAAGATGTAAGACCACTAGATAGTGATTATGGGGCCCATAAAGCTATTAGAAAACATTTTACAAACATGACTAAATGGACAGCACACAATCTATAAGAGGTTAGAGGGTTAGTTCACCCAAAAATGAAAATTCTGTCATCATTTACTCACCCTCAAGTTGCTCCAAACCTGTATGAGTTTCTTTCTTCCGCTGAACACAAAAGAAGATATTTTAAAGAATATGGGTAACCAAACAGGATGCACAGGATGAAAAAAAAACTATGGAAGTCAATGGGGCGCGTTCAACTGTTTGATTACCGACATTCTTCAAAATATCTTCTTTTGTGTTCGGCAGAAAAAAGAAATCCATTCGAGTTTGGAACAATTGAGGGTGAGTAAATGACGACAGAATTTTCATTTTTGAGTGGTACTGTAAGCCACTAAACTAGTTTTACTAAAATACGGAATTTCAACACAGACTCACTTGCGTTTTTAGGCAGACCGGGGCCAATACTGACAGTCAAGGCCTTGCTGCTCGGCTTCAGAACTGCATCGTCCCCCTGACCCATCTGAAACTGGATCTGTCGAGAGCCAGCAGATGCAAACGGACCCCATCCCCCTTTCTTCACCTTAAATTCAAGTCTTAGTGAGAAATATGTTGAATGTTAGAATTACAAGACCAACATATGCACATGATCCTTTTTCTGCGTATGATGTAATACAGCACATGGTAAATTTCACAGTGAGGGAAACATTGCTCACAGGTTGTTGAACTTGAGCGGCAACTTTTTCCGCGTTTTTTCCTCGTAACGCTTGTACAGCAGACTGAGGAACTCCGTTTTAAAGACAGACTGCAGCACACTGTCATACTGATCCTCGTGCAGTATGAAGAGGTCATCCTGTAGTGTGCTGAGGAAAGAGATCCACCCATCATCATCATGCAAGTCAAAAAACGACAAAAACTTGCTTAAAAATGCTTGCTCAAGGACTTTAGTGTTTGAAAACATTCCGATTTTTCATTCTGCTGTATTTGTATGATTTATTAGGCATATTGAAGCTGTAATGTAGGGAGAAGACTCAAGTCCAAAAGGTTATCAAGCATATTGCATGATAAAGTACCTAAGAGAGACAGACTGGATCTTCTCCACCTCTATCTTCCTCTTCAAGACCTCCTGGATCTGGCCTTTCTCAGGACCCTGTTTCACCTTCTCGCGTCCAACCAGATAGAGGAACTTAGGGGTGAGAACGAGGTCACGCTTGACAGTCTGTGGGTGTTGAAACAGCATGTGAGTATGTGATCACATGAAACATGTCAGATGAACTCCAATGTGCAGAACCAAACATCTGTTGCTGAGCAGCTTCTTGACAGTTACAGAGGAAGTGATCCATGAGTTTCAGTGTGTTAAATGGGACTTTGAGTCATACCTTAAATCTGCGGTCGTATTT